TTGTTTTAAAGGCAGGCCCCCCCCCCCCTACATCAAATGTGCCAACTCCACCATCCCCTTTTTAAAACATTAAAAATTATTAGTTAACATAATAATATGCGTATTTAGTCCGAATTAAAATAAAGTAAGTTCCTCCCTAATGTCTTCTTCATTTCAAATCAACAAACAATCAATATTTACGAAAGAAAAAGATGTGTTTTTCAATCAAAATACATTAATAATAATAACAATCGGCAAGTTTCATAACATTGTTTTTGATGTCTATCATCGTGTTAAAATGGTAAAACACTAGGGGGAGATGAACAGACGCACAACACCGGGTAGAGAAAAAAGTGGATTGACCATTTTTTTTGTCGAACACACTTTTCAATACAAAATCGTCATTTTTGACTTAACAAAAAATAGCTGTTTAGCACAAAAACGCCGCGAGATCTAAGCGTGAACGTTCCCAGGGGCCGAGCGCTGCAGTGACTTAATTTTTGGAGATATAGCTCTGAAACATAAAACGCAGTGACTCATTCATTCATTGATATACTGCCAACAATTTTGTATTTTGAGTCATGTTGATTGGAGGTCGTCTTCATGCCGCAAATCGCGATTTATAATAGTAAAAGGGCGCGCGAACGGGTCAACCTAGAGGGTTGACATTTTGCATGCACACAGGTATAGCCTAGGGCTACAATTTTTCTTTGGTAAAGATTGCTAAAAGTTTAGCTGTAATTTAGCCGGCTCACTTTTGGCTCAATAGATCTGGGAAGGTTCACGCGCCGTTTTTGAGCAAAATAGATAATTTTTTTAGCCCTCTCCATACCAAGACTAATGTTTTATTGAAAAATTTTTCATCTCCTAATACTTGTTAGACGGTTGATCATCAAGACGAATCCGCTGCCGAGCTGGGGAAAACATTTCTTTAATGTTCGCCGTGTTGCGGTCATTGAAGAGTGTATTGTGTATCCTGGGGGAAAACAACACACATGGTACTTATTAATTGATTGGTTGATGGAGTGATGGATGGATTGATTGATTGATTGATTGATTGGTTGGTTGATTGATTGATTGTTTGTTTTTTTGACAAACGGATTAATTCATTGATACAGGCATTCAATTATTGATTCATTCATTGCATTATTCATCCTATCATTCATTCATTGCTTTATTCATCCTTTCAGACATTCATTCATTCATTGCATTATTCATCCTTTAATTTGTTCATTGCATTATTCATCCTTTCATTCATTCATTGCATTATTCATCCTTTCATTCATTCATTTCATTATTCATCCTCACATCCATTTATTCATTCATTCTTACATTCATCCTTTCATTTAGGCTTTCTTCAATTAATTCACTCATCTATATCCTTCATTCATTCATCCTTCATTCATCCTTCCTTTCATCGTTTAATTCATAGAATGCCTGATGAATTTATAAATTCCAATCAGGTTTTTTCATTTGAGATTTCCGTTTTTTAGTGATGTTATTATAATCTAACATTGTTGGTTTGATCACTTGGATTGATTTGATTGATCTGAAGTGAGAACTTGTTTGTTGTGAATCTCATGATCAAGCATTGATCTAAGTATAAGTTTAATTCCTTTTCGATATCCCGTGGTCTAATCTAATTTTAGCTGATGAAAAAGCATTTACCCTCAAATTCAAAAGTGCCCTCATTGGATAACGATATCTAGATCAAATGTTAAAGATTAACGATGCTAGACACAACATATCCCGGCCTCTGGGTGAATTTTGTTAATGAATTGATTAGATATTCTCGTGGTTTGATTGGATAACAAAATTGTGTTTTGAGCTTTGTTTTTTAACATTCAACGTTTTGAGACTTTTAAAAGGCTTCTAAAAGATATGAGATGTTATTCCTGTTTCAAAATGGAATGCTTGATAAGTTTGTTTTTGTAATATTATGCAAAATGTTTACCATTTTTCAAAATGGTTTTTATAAATCTTTTTGATAATAGAAAAATTGTGGCTTAAGCTAAAAAGCAACCTTATCAAGCATAAAATTTTAAAACAGGAGAAGCAACACAGATTTATGGCAGCACTTTTAAAGCCAATATATGTGGAATGTTTCAAAATAGACCTCAAACACGTGCTGATCCAGGTATGTTCGGAACATTGGGCTCAATGCTTTTATGGCAACAGTAGAGAAGGCGCAGTTTTATCCAGATCCTCAGAACCTTGGACAAACCATTATAAATAAGCAGGTATCCATTACTGTTTATATATTACAGTTTTATACAGATCCTCTTAATCCTGGACATATCATTATACATTAACAGGTATATATTATAGTTTTATACAGAGCCTCTTAACCTTGGACATATCATTATACATAAACAGATATCCATTATAGTTTTATACAGATCCTCTTAACCTTGGACATATCATTATACATACATAAACAGGTATCCATTCCAGTTATACACAGATCCTCTTAACCTTGGACATATCATTATACATAAACAGGTATCCATTATAGTTTTATACAGATCCTCTTAATCCAGGACAAACCATTATACATAAACAGGTATCCATTATAGTTTTATACAGATCCTCTTAACCTTGGACAAACCATTATACATAAACAGGTATCCATTATAGTTTTATACAGATCCTCTTAATCTAGGACAAACAATTATACATTAAAAAGGTATTTGTTAGAAGAAGAAAAAATTATAGGAGAGTAAAATTTTGTAAGATTAAAACCTTAAACATTAAGGGCTGAAAATGCGGCTAGGATAAGTAAAAATAATTTGAAATTATTTTAGTGTTGGATCGACAGCAGTATAATCGGATTCCGCAGCGCTATTCGAAAATTCGGAATTGATCGATACAAGAAGAACTGTGTTCTTGCCACCGAGGTATTCATTTACAACGAGACGACAGGCGTCCCTATGATTTCATCTAATACGCATCAAACTTACCAAAAATTTCTTTGACACAGAGAGTGTATTTTTATCTTCCTAAATGTACTTTCAATCCTGATCCCATTAACAAACAGGGAAACATATTGCCGATTTACAATAAATAGTAGTGGTTTTCTAATGCATGTGCAGCAGAGATAAATAAGAAAATTGCCAAAATGTAACACTTTCTCAGATATGAGTTTAAAGAGTACTTAAATGGGAAGTCACATGAAATTACGACATATTATTGATATTATTGTACCTCTTAAAGATTTTCTACAGTCCCTGATTATTCAATCCAAAGTGCGCACGGAGTCAGACTAAATAAAAATTTTTGTCTTGTCTTGTATATGCTAAAAGGCCATGCGCTGCAAATAAACAGCTGAGGATTTACCGCTTGCCAAATGACAATTTCAATTTCAAAATAGTTCCTATACAATTATTCATATATAATCTCACTGAAAAGAAATTATATTCCGTTTTATTTTAGGGATTTGAGACAGTTCTGACAAAAATGAATGACTCCACTGGGCCCCATTCCGCCCTATCCGCCTCTCATAGCACATCTGGCTTCTCTGCCTCTCTTGGGTCTTCCATATCCTCAAAATTTTCCGCCAACAGACTCTGACGGCCAAAATATGTGTTCTAAAACCTGGCCCAAAAAACGTTAACATAATGGGCATTAGATTGATTCCAAACGCGTAGTAAAATTTACCTATTATCATGTGATAAAAATTGTTTAATGCCCATGCATTTTTTACTTATGAGCAAATCATTTTTTCAGATCAACAAAGGTGCTTGGTAAAATGGGGAAAGGCCCGAAACACAACCTCGGTAGAAACAGAAATAATGCTATTTTTAAGGTACAGACGTCGTCGTCTTTGTATATATTGATCAAACGAAGACGACTTTAGATTTTGATTTATACTTTAAGCTTTCAAACCGCATAGATACCAATAAACATGGAAACAAGGAGAAACAGTCAAAACACAGCTTCTCTTTGTTTACTAGTAAACTTTTAATTTAAAAAAAACTTGTTGGAAATCAAAACTTAAGATTAAATAGGTATGTCTTCCTCTTTGTGTTGATATAACCGCATTTACTTTATTTCAACCATTATTATGATTTATTATATGAGGAGTAAATTAAAGGGACTGTAAGCGTAATTTGAAATGATCCTCCATGCAAAGATGTCAATGCCCGATTCATAGCGTTAAAGTTCTAATAATTCCTATATGTTTTTCTGCAGTAGAAATTCCCAAGGTCACTTTTGCAGAAACCCACAATGTATAATTAGTTATTGATCAGAAAACGCTTTTAAGGGTACCCTTGTGAATCGGTAGATGCCATCTTTGCATGGAGTGGAGGGTCACTTAAAATTACGCTTTCAGTCCCTTTAACCCGATAGGTAAGCTAATATTTGCCTCGTGGTATCTACTACGATTATTTAACGTTTACCCAGAAATAACGCCACACCTGAACCACTAGACCCACTGTGGAGAGTTTGTGTGCAGACTATAATGTGCACAACATATTCAATGACCCCAAACTCTACTGATCGATTAATAGATTAACTGGAAATATACAGCTACATCCAGCTGATGGTTTAATAAATCTCTTTCAGCTTAGATAGACAGGGCGGTCCGTGTCAATGATCCATCTATGACTATCTGATCTGTGTTATTTTATCATCAACTTTAATTTTCAATTCTTCTATTACAGGTTGCTGGTGTTAATATGAAGGATAAAAAGGGAAAGGCGAAGGAAGTTGTATCCAAACTGAAAGTGGTAAAACTCTATTTATTTATTAATTATAAATCTACTCGAATATCATATTTTGTACAGTTAAACTCATTAATATGAATACATTAGAAGAATTTTTAAAATGTCGTCGTTATAATTTGGTCATAAAAACAGGGTTGCCCGGGGATCAAGTGCTATAGGTCTTGCCTGAATTATTTTAGGATTCAACCAGGAAAGCATGAATACTAAAGAAAAATGGTGCAATAGCACTTTAAGAGGTGTTAGTTATTTTCCCAAGTGGCAACTTCTCTAATATGCAAATTCCCGAGAGGCAACTTCTCTAATATGCAAATTTCCGAGAGGCAACTTCTCTAATATGCAAATTTCCGAGAGGCAACTTCTCTAATATGCAAATTCCCAAGCGGCAACTTCCCAAAGGTTAGGTAAGGCATATTGAGGTACCGCAGGCTGGCTAGGGGTTCGAGCGCTGCGGCTAGGGCAGACTTGTGCAACCTATGAAAATAACTTTAGGAACTTTGCCGCTCGAGAAAAAGTCTTCGGGAGAGTGCCTAACATCACCCTACATGCGCTTCTTTCCTATTTCACCGATTACTGAGTAAAATTGTTTTATTTTAGTTGAACGCGAAGAATAAATCCAAGGTTATGGATTTAGATAATACACTCAAACAGTTGCAACATTCTAATGCATTGGCAGGTTAGTTAAACGGCATTATTTTAATAAAGGGTAATTTCACCTTTTTTGAACATAATATCCTGATTTTGAGAATTAGGAATAGAAGTTAAAGGGACTTTTAGCGTAATTTCACCTTTTTTGAACATAATATCCTGATTTTGAGAATTAGGAATAGAAGTTAAAGGGACTTTTAGCGTAATTTCACCTTTTTTGAACATAATATCCTGATTTGAGATTTAGGAATACAAATCAGCCAATTTAAAGGGACTGTAAGCATAATTTCAAGTGACCCTCCATGAAAAAACGACAATGCCCGATTCACAATGTTACCACTGAAAGCTTAGTCTAATCAATTATAAATTAGATATCAAAAAAATATTTAAATCTTTATTAAGGAAAAGAAAAGAAGGATGAGACTATTAAACCTATATTAATTAAACCTATATTAATTAAACCTATATTAATTAAACCTATATTAATTAAACCTATATTAATTAAACTTATATTAATTAAACCTATATTAATTAAACCTATATTAATTAAACCTATATTAATTAAACCTATATTAATTAAACCTATATTAATTAAACCTATATTTAGGAACTAGTGTGTCTGGTAAAGAGAAGAAGGACGAGACTATTAAACCTATATTAATTAAACCTATATTTAGGAACTAGTGTGTCTGGTAAAGAGAAGAAGGACGAGACTATTAAACCTGGTCCAACTAAACCTGAAAATATCAAGGATACTGATATGACAGATCTGGCTGAAATGCTCAAAACAAACAGCTAAACCTAATTTTTTAAATAAATTTTTTTTCTACCAACTTTCTTTTTCAAAATGTACTTTTTTTACATAAGATATTCATGTACATAATTTGTTCAGATCTGGGATGTAAAATTTTAATTTTAGATTAGATAAAAACTTGCTCAAAAATCATGTAATCCCGCGTATTAAGGCAGTTGGATAATTTATTTATATTTCATTTCATCAGTTTTATACTTTGAAACTTTAAATTAATTTTGTGGAATGGATCTGTGACCCATACTTGGGCTCATCCAAGGCTGTTTAATAAGGTTAGATACTCAGGATGCGCAGGCGCTCCAATGTACGAAAATGTCGTCTTCATAGCAATGTACGGAAAAAGTCGTCTTCTTTGAAATTGACACTCAAAAAATCCTCATGACTTAATTTGGCGAAGGAATAACCGTTGTTGGTGAAAGGATTTTCTTCGCTCTCTGACAATTTATCACTCAATTCCCATGTTTATTGGGACACCCGGTATCTGTCAATGCGCCTATAGAAGTTATATCAGAACTATTTATTGCCCTCACTTGGTTTAAAGGGAGTGTAGTTAAACTGAGAATGAGTTATTTTTGTTCAGCAAGAGAGTCAATGCAATCTATAAAGTCCTCATTGATTGTTCATTTTGGAGGGATAATTTTGAGAATTAGTTTTAAAAAATTATTCATTGACAACCACGAAAAATGTAACAAAAACCAATTTAGATGTTGAGAAAACAAATATTAATATATTATGCGTAGGAAGAAAGTGTAATAATCAAAATTATTGTTATAATATGATAATCTTATGAGGAAAAAAATGTAAAAATGGAAATTCTTAAACGAGATGAAATAATCTTGATGTATTCTTTAACGAAGGCCGCAGGCCTGAGTTAAAGAATGCATCAAGATTATTTCATCGAGTTTAAGAATACCATTATTACATTTTTATCCTCATAAGATTATTATTATATCATATTTGTGAGGTTCCATGGGCACATACCCAAGAAATTATATTAAAAAATAATTCTGGTGAAAACCGACTATTTCAAGTTGGAAGAGTTTACATTATGAAAGGTTGCAAATAAGTTTTATGCTCTTGTTCTGACTAACACTGTTTTTTTCTTCTGTCAGGACTAGGGTTGAGATTCAAATTGATATTTCTGAATTAAGGTATATCAATACTTCAAAAAACGAAAAAGGTAAGTGAGCATGAAAAGGTAAGTGAGCATGTTGTTTTTAAGTTAAAAAAGGTAAGTTTGCATGTATTAATGTAAAAGAAAAAGGTGAGTTTGCCCTGTGCATGTTGTCAGTACAAAATAATTAAGTTAATATCAATATTGATCTATACTGAAAAGATCAATTTAAGGAGCGTGTAAGAATGAATATTCTTCAACTAGTGAAAGAATTTCCATTCTTTAATGCTTGGAGCGTGTAAGAATATACATTCTTTCACGCTCTGACCGTGTAATAATTTCCATTCTTACACGATCTGAGCGTTAAAGAATGAAAACTCTACACCTACAGTGAAAGAATGAGCATTCTCAAACGCAAGGAAGCGAACAATATTAAAATTGTTCCTCCTGAACCTTGTAATAATGGGAATTCTTACACGATATGTTTACTACTATGGAACCGAACAGATATGATATAATAACTCTTATCATCTAAAATGAGTAATCTTATTCAGTTATTAGTTTCTGTAATATCTCATTCTTCAAAAATAGTTTCTGTAGATGTTCTGGAATTTTTATTGAAAAGATGACTTTGATTTGATTTGTAGAAATCTGCCAAGAAATTTGTAAAGAATAAAAAATTCTATATAATGATGAAAAATAAAGAAATGATTCAACATTGATTTATTGTCAAATTTCTTTTGAGAAATATGTTCTTATATCAAAAGAACCCGTAACAAGTAAGACATTTTGTAATATCTCTGTAAATAGTAATAGCAGCCGGTTGTATTTTTGAATGTAGACTCATATAGTTGCCTAGGAGCAGGATAGGAAGTCCGATTGTCGAAATCTCTTTCCGGAGACTTGGAACCTCTGAAAAGTGACCTCCGTCGGCTCCGATTTTTTTATCTCCGAACTCTTTGGACATAAATAGCCCAATTTTTTAATATATACTCCCAATGACCCCTAGAATACAATAAGCTTTGTCAAATCAAGTATAAATCCTAAATCTAAATCCATGATTGGGTTTGCGAAAACTTTCCCTTGTGAAGAAGTACCTTAGATATTTTCAGCCTTAGAAATCAATTATCAGATTTAAAGTGGTTTTCAAGCAAGAAACTGACGCTTTCTTTCACATTTTATGAGCAAAACGTTTTGATAGTGCCAAAAAGTGGCAGGCACCAGAGGGGCAATTAACTAACTAGTGGGAGGCACCAGAGGGGCAATTAACTAACTAGTGGGAGGCACCAGAGGGGCAATTAACTAACTTTTAGGGTTAAAAAAGGGCAATGTCAATGACATCATAGGGATCGGTTAAAATAATTAACAATGTTCAACTTGATGGGCCCTGTCCATTGTTCACAATTGTTTTTTTTTAAGTTTACGATTTGAATCTTTCAAAAAAAAAACCCAGTTTTTCATAAATTTTTGGACACTACTTTTAAAAGCAATCATAGATCTAAATAAAACGAATTAATGACACATTTTATCAATAATAAAACCAAGGGGCTGATACAGGGGGGGCGGGGTTACATTCGCACCCCCTGACAGATTCAGGGATGGGGCGTAGCGCCCCCCCCCCCCTGAATTTGGAATTTTTTGTTTCTATTTTCAGAATAGCTTCTCAATAGCATGCTTAGGGGAAAGAACCCCTAGTGCAAAACAGGAAAAATATCTGTTTTTATGAACTACAATGTGTGAAAAGTTACAAATCTAGTTTTTTTAGTCTTTAGTCATTAATTTTGACTCTTTTTGAGTCTTTTAAGTCAAAATAAATTTTCGCCTGCAGCGCGATTTTTTGTTCCTAATTATGATTTTTTGGTTCCTAAAAAATCTTGCCCCCCCCCCTCACTTAAATCCTGTATCCGCCCCTGATAAAACCCAAAAAGATTCGCTGTTCTGTGAAGAAAACGATCAATAACGATTTTCGAAAAGGCGAAATTGCCCATCCCTATAATGTAGATAATCTTGTATAATAAAGATTGGATACCGAGTAACCTACTTCCCTTCTTTAGTTCAATGTTTTCAATCATAACTTTTATATATGCATTCCTACTGTAGAGCCACGTTATTGACTCAAAAGCAAGTAAAGCGTTGTGTAGGGTTACGGCTGGAAATCTTTTATATATGCATTCCTACTGCAGAGCCACGTTATTGACTCAAAAGCAAGTAAAGCGTTGTGTAGGGTTACGGCTGGAAATGCCCAATTAGGGAATAGTTTCAAAGACAGGTTTGGGTGTGCGATCATGGGGAGTTCAGGTTAGACGCCCCCCCCCCTCGCTATGGTGCCTGGTGTAGTGGGGGGGGAGGCGTGCAGGATAATACACACCCTGAGGCGCAACGGGGGGGCAATACTTTTGTTTACAATGAAGTCCTAGAATTTGTAATCTTACTTCAATTGTCTTCATGAATTCAAAAGGAGTGTTAAAGTGGGTAAATAAATACAAAAGCATTTATAAAGATGACGACATTTGGAAAAATCTCATTAGTTGTGAAATTTGTCACAATTCAAAATATTAGTACAACTCATGTCTGGGTACATGATCGTTGTACAGGTTCATGTGTTCTATACGGACTTACTCCTTGTACAGTGTACTGTACATTGTACACCATAGACCCCCCTAGCTTACCCAGTGAGAGAGAGGGGCTGTACAGTGCTCATGAAAGCATAGCAATTAGACTGTCATTTGTAAAATTTCCAAGAAAATATTTTCACATCAGTCGCGACAAATTTAGTTTTGAAGAGTTAGTTCAAAATAAAAACTTCAATATTTTTTCTTTTTATTTCTTATTTCAGTCTTAAGTTTATAAATCTATTGAGTTGTGATGTAGATACTTATTGTCTTCTTATTATGTTTACCAGCAGAGTCCTCTAGCGGTAATTCTGTAAATAAAATACTGTTGTTCAGAGACAGGTAGTTTAGAAGATTGTCATGGCTAGGAAAGTAAATGAAAATTGTTCATTTTATAAATAGGACTGTTCACTGTTTAGTTTGTAATGCTTATCAAATAGAAAGGACTGCTTCAATATCCATCTATTTGACTTTAAATTGGTCATCTTTTAAAAAAGGACAGTTTTTATGTTTATGTTGTAAATAGGACTATTCATTGTTTATCATATAGAAGGATTGTTTTTATGTTCATGTTACAAATGAGACTATATATTGTTTATCATTTAGAAGGACTGTTATTATGTTCATGTTATAAATAGGACAATTCATTGTTTATCATTTAGAAGGACTGTTATTATGTTCATGTTATAAATAGGACAATTCATGTTTATCATATAGAAGAACTGTTATAATGTTCACGTTATAAATAGGACAAATCATGTTTATCATATAGAAGGACTGTTATTATGTTCATGTTATAAAAAGGACAATTCATGTTTTTCATATAGAAGGGCTGTTTTATGTTCATGTTATAAATAGGACAAATCATGTTTATCATATAGAAGGACTGTTACTATGCTCATGTTATAAATAGGACAATTCATGTTTATCATATAGAAGAACTGTTTTTTTGTTTGTGTTATGAAAAAGACTATTCATTGTTCATGATATAGAATGACTTTTATTATGTTTATGTTATAAATAGGAATATTCATTGTTCATCATTTAGAAGGACTGTTTTTATGTTTTTGTTATGACTAAAACTATATAGAAAGACTGTTTTTATGTTTATGTTATAATTAGGACTATTCATTTTTTATCATTTAGAAGGACTGTTTTTATGTTCATGTTATAAATAGGACTATTCATTGTTTATCATATAGAGGGACTGTTTTTATGTTCATGTTATAAATAAGACTGCTCATTGTTCTTCATATAGACGGACTGTTATTATGTTCATGTTATGAATAAGACTGCTCATTGTTCTTCATATAGAAGGACTGTTATTATGTTCATGTTATGAATAAGACTGCTCATTGTTCTTCATATAGACGGACTGTTTTTACGTTCATGTTATGAATAAGACTGCTCATTGTTCTTCATATAGAAGGACTGATTTTATGTTCATGTTATGAATAAGACTGCTCATTGTTCTTCATTTAGAAGGATTGTTATTATGTTCATGTTATGAATAAGACTGCTCATTGTTCTTCATTTAGAAGGACTGTTATGTTTAAAATAAATAATAACTTTGAGGAACCCCTTTCCTCTAGATATTTCCTTATTATGATGCAAATCTATAACCCTCAGGCTCTGTAAAAATCAATAATCTGTAAAAAAAAAATCTCAAATCTGTAAAAATCGAATTATTCAAATAATCTTTATATTTATCTGTCTACAAGACCGCAAACTCGCTCTTTAAAAACCAGGAGGCTGGATATATCTTGGGGTTCGCATGCTCACAAGATTCAAATTTTCAAATCATTTGATAACACGGACGAAAAGCATAACAAAGATTGTTCTACAGGGTTACCCACTTAGGATGGGACTTCAGAGACGATTGTACGGAATTTATACTGTCTTCTTCCTTATATTCACAGTTCTCTGCAACTGTCAACTTGTTCTAACTTTGTCAAATTATTAAACAGGCCCATAAAAGACACAATTTAATTGATTTATTACATAGGTCGTCTTTACAGTCTCATCCTTTATGGGTAACCCTATAAATTTATGTCATGTTTAGAAACTGGTTTAGAAAATAAAAATTAACTCTTTTAATCGAAAAAAGGTAGTTTCATTTATTTATTAAACTCTTATAATCCTGCACTCTTAGTTAAACTACAGTAGTCAGCGTTTTTATCAATACAATGAAGATTACTTTTCTCTTTATATTGACAACATCTCTATGCTTCCATGTTTGTGTGTACCCATGCTGTTTGATAGCTTTGTAGAAAGCTAAATTTAAATAGAAAGTCGTCTTCATTGTATTGGTATATACGACGACGATTGTACCGTAACCAGCCAGTCATTAACTTTAAGACTATTCACTGTGCAAATCGAAAGAGTAGGAAAATATTAAATCTACTTCATTGTTTATTTAATCTAAATTACATAATATGTAAGAGATACTAGTTACAAAAGTTGATAAATAGGACTTGTGCATCATGTTTTAGCAATAGTGGACCAGTTACTGATTATTTTCTAATTAAGGGATTGTCCAGTCATTTGAGTAAATTAAAGGGAGTGTTCGCGAAAAATGAAAGGGGTATAGGCTTGCGGCGAAAAATAAGCGCTTTTGATTGCTACTAACATTACTTCTATCTATTGCGTCTATAAGGAGAAAATTGTTAAAAACGACTTATACCCAAGTACGTAGTGTTCATACAAATTCAGAAAGATGCAAAATTCAACTCGGATTGTAAACAAATCAATTTAATTCCAAACAAAACATTCAGATATTACAAACAATAGTCATCAATTATTTTTCGATGCATTCGTAAATAGTTGATATTTCATAATATTTTGTATTTTTCATGATCATGAGAGTTACTTTTGAAAACATTTATTCCTGCTTCGAGGATTTTTGATAATGAAGACGACATTTTCATATTTTCCAGGAATGTTCGAAAATCTAGCGCCAGCGAAAATTATTTTAAAAAAAACAAAATCAAAAATATTATAAAATGTTAACTATATATATATATGCGTCGAAAATTAATCGATGACTATTTTTTGTAATATCTGAATGATATGTTTGGAATTCAATTGATTTGTTTTCGATCCAAGTTGAATGTTGCATCGTTCCGAATTTGCAAACCTATACCCCCCTTCATTTTTCGTGAACACTCCCTTTAAGGAGGTACCGATTATTATTTTTTAATCCAAAGAAATTAAGTCTTTCCCACAAACTCTGATTATCTCTTCCCTATATCTTTGCAAACCAAAGTCGAAGCCTTTAGATATTCAAAACTATGAATTATGTTAGATCAAATAATCAAAACTTTTAAATTTCCACGGTTTGCACCATCAACTTGCCAAGATATAGGAATAAGAAAATATGGGTTTGTGGCAAAAAATCAGCTCCTTTTTGAACAATCTCTTTAAGCGTGAACATTTATTAAAACTAAAAAATTAGAAAATTATATAAATGAAAAAGCACGAAAGGGTTGAAAGAGATGACAAATACAATTACATTTGTAAAATGGGTTTCTAGAATTTTAAAACTTTCTCTATAAATAGGTATTTACAATTCACAATGGTACTCCTTATTTTCGTATTTATGTAGGTAATGAAAAAATTCCGGGTTCTGGGACGTTAAGTAACATAACCTCCCTCGGTTTGGGGAATGATAATTTAAAGGAAACATTGAAAATACCTCCATGTTTTCTTTGTAATATCGAACCTGAGAGAGCGTTTTGAAAGGTGTTAGGTACTTTCCCAAAGGCCCTTTCCCAATGACTATTTCCCAAGCGGCAACTTCCCAAATGTAAAGTTAAAGTTAGGTCCCTAGCATTCTGGTCATAATTCGAAATTACGACCAAATTGTTCTATTGACAAAAAAATGAAAAAAAGGCTTGAAATTAGTTTACAATAGGGGTATATAACGGGTCTTAACTCTGAATTGAGTACCATTGTGGTAGAAAACGTAAGGAAATTAAAATCAGCGTTGTTCATCGAAGGCTTAAAGCAAAATTTTGGACCAAATTAGTAATATTTAAAATGAAAATGTCAAACTTTAATTTTAGACAAATTCGAATAAAATTTATATTTTAAGTGCTCTTTGGTCTGTCTTTTGGCAGTGAAATCGAGAATATGAATAGTTTTGGCGGTGCAAGGCAGATAGTAATCACTACTAGAAGTACACATTTTGGAACAAAAATAAACTTGATTGTTCATTTAGTTTTAACATTTCTTAAAATGCCCAAAAAAATTTTAGAAAAAATTCTAATGTTTAGCAAAAAGTTACAAGTTTTAACAAATAGCAACGTAAATTTCTTTAACCTAACTTGAAATTAATGCAAAATAAAAATGCTTCTATTTTTTGCTTTTTTTCACATTTTCTCAAAAAGCGAAGGATCTGTGTAGATTGGTTCACTGGGATCCTGCCACCTCACATCCTCGGCCTCCCCTACAATATATCAACATTGGAAAGGAATAATAAGTTGCCATTTTTGGCCACCAGGTGTATGGTGCTAAAGTGGCGCCGTGGTGGCGCGCAGATAAAACTGAGTCTCAATATCAAAATTGAAAAAAATATAAATTCGAAAAGTATCATATATAGAGTATCTATACCAAACCAGTTAAAAATCATAAAAAAAATTTATTTAAAAAAACCTTAAAATATGTTAAACACAATAAATCAACATTGGGAAAAAAATAAAAAAATAAAGAAAATTTTTAATTTCAAAAGTTAACATGTAATCTATGCCTATATACTACAGTTAAACCCTAAATAAACCATACATCGAAAAAATTATCAAATGTAGTCTTGACAATTTTTCAATGGGTTTTATACTATTTTACGTAAATCTCAGTATTTGCTAAAATAAATAACAAGTCATGAATATGCGGGAACAGTTTTAAAGAGCTCCAAATAATCATTTAAAACTAAATATTCCAATATCAGAAAGTGAAGAATACGACATTTGATGAATTCTTTCGATGTATGGTTTATTTAGGGTTTAACTGTATGTGGTTTAAAATCGAAAACAAATATAAAAACCTTAAACTATGTTTAATTCACAATCGTTGATCATGTTTACCATGTATGTTTGCCCTTAAACTTCAACTGTTTTTAAAAAATAAATATGTATGTGGAAAGGAATTTAGTCTTTGCCACAAACTCTGATTGTCTAATCCAAATTTATCTTTGCAACTCAATGCTGTAGTCCTTAGATACGTCAAACTATGAATTTTGTTGGCTCAAATAATCTAAATTTGTAAAATCAAAGGTTTACACCATCAGGTTACAAAGATAAAATGATTAACAAATTTGAGTTTGTGACAAGGACTTAATTCCTGTAGGGTTTTGTAAAATACACTTTTAAAAGGACTGTAAGCGTAATTTCAAATGGAACTACATTCAAAGATGGATATTCCCGATTTACAACCTCTAGTCTGATCAATAATGTGGAAGATACTGACATTATTCAAGGCAGTGAATATGAATAAAGGGAAAGGAAATGGCGCTGGTCTGGCATGAGAAAGCCAGTCGCACTGCTTTGCAGACCAGTACGGTAACCTAACACACACTCTTTTGGAACAGACACAACATGATTACAGTCGAGGAAATTGCAGAACAATGTCGTCAATTATAATTAACCTTGAATAACGACTATATTTATTGTAAATTTTAATCAAATTATATTCTTTGCATGAAAATTTGGCTTTATAGTGTTGACTTAAATATGTTAATAATATATTACATATTAAACTAATTTTTAAGTGAACAATTAACAATAAACAAATATGCTCTCCTAGATTGTACAAATACCGAGATTCTTATGTACTGTATATACCTACAGTACACACCTTCGGTTCGGTATTCCTTAAACACACTATTTTGATACAGACACACACACATGACGTTTCCACCCCCTGATTTTAAGGCTTAAGGAGATCAGCATTAATGATGAAAAAGTATATTTTAATGAATAAAAACCATGATATATTTTGACTCCATTTGTAAGGACAATAATGTGGCCGGGATAAAAAAATATATTATAACCACGGTGAATACCTGGAGTATGTTTCCAGGGAGGTAGATACCTTTCTTGCGGTACTATTTTACTCTCCTTCAAGTGTCGAAGTTTACTCATCTAAATATATATTTATAATTACTCTGGAACTATTTTACTCTCCTTCAAGTCGGAGTTTACTCATCTAAATATATATTTACAATTACTCTGGTACTATTTTACTCTCCTTCAGGTGTCGGTGTACAATATTCTACAGTACTCTACAGTATTCTACAGCACTTTACAGTATTCTACAGTACTCTACAGTATTCTACAGTACTCTACAATACTCTATAGTATTCTACCTACAGTACTGTACTGTATTCTACAGTACTCTACAGTATTCTACAGTATTCTACAATATTCTACAGTATTCTGCAGTATTCTACATACAGTATTCTACAGTATTCTACAATATTCTACAGTATTCTACAGTATTCTACAATATTCTACAGTATTCTGCAGTATTCTACATACAGTATTCTACAGTATTCTACAATATTCTACAGTATTCTACAATATTCTACAGTATTCTACAGAATTTTAAACAGTATTCTACAGTGAAACCCTTAATAACGAATACATCGAAAGAATTCATCAAATGTCGTATTCTTCACTTTCTGATAATGGAATGTTTCAGATATTTAGTTTTTTAATTAAATGATTATATGGAACTCTTTAAAACTGTTCCCGCATATTCATGGCTATTTATTTATTTTCGCAAATACTGAAATTTACGTAATATAGTATAAAACTCATTGAAAAATTGTCAAGACGACATTTGATAAATTCTTCTGATGTATTCGTTATTAAGGGTTTCGCTGTATACAGTATTCTACAGTATTCTAAAGTATTCTACCTGTTGACTAGAGAGTACTGTACCGGGATCAGACATATCATGCACGGATTTAGACTTTCTACTTCTTCTGAAAAAAAAATAATTGACTATTTAAAGATATATGTATCAAAAAAAAATGTGTACTAATGTAATTATTCCTATCGTACTCCTCACTTCGATATAATCAACAAACTTTGGTCAAGACTTTTTAATGAGTTTTGCGGATGTCTAAACACTCCTGTATGCCGAGTCCATTAGCTCCTGATCCAATCAGGGTTCAGACATGTGTTTGTTGTCTATTCTAAACCAATATAAATAGTATGGCGGTAACATCTATCATTCCATCTATCTCATTATCCAATTAGAGTTATGAATCCTTCAATCGGCGCTATCAGTAAATTAAACTATGGTGTAAAGCAGAACTGACCTGTATAATATGAGGGTAAGGGTAGAAACTAGAGTAAGGAGAAGACCAAGAACAATTAAACCAACTAACATCCCTTTGTATGAGGAGCTAACCAAGCACACTGTTGCCTCCCTGAATGTAAAAACATTGTCTAAAAAATACTGTAAATGGAATTATAACAAATTTCATTTTGATAATGTAAAATTTTATCAGGCTTAATGAGAAGACATTCTTCCTAAATCTATTGACTGAAGAAATTGAGTTTTCGCAACAAACTCAAATTTCCCAATCCCTATATCTTCGCAAGCTAACGTGCATAGTATGAAATATTTACGGTTTGGGTTGCATGTAAGGTTTGTGGCAAAGGCTCAATTCCTTATTAAAAGTAACAACATAGAGCGTGCCATATCAAATTGTATTTTCTAAAAGCTATACAACTTTAAAATGTTTCCAAATTTGGTCTAAACGCACGATGTGATGTGGGAACCCTGTGTTTATAACACAGACTAGATATTTATAGACTCTTATCTCACGAAACCTCGATTCCAGAAAGAAGTGGGGTTCATACAGTACGCATAATGCAGGGTTTGTACTAAACTTCAATTTTGGTATATATTTAGCAGTCATTTTGCAATACTAAATGATCTGAGAGATAGATAGATATTTTTTCCTTAAAATGTAAACAAAAAATAGGAAAAAGGAAACACTGTACAAATAACTTGTTTTTAAAAATACGTACAGTGTACACAAAGAACCACAATATTTCTAAAATGGTACAGTTTTACCCAGCTTGCCTGCTGTACTCAGTACACTGAATCTCTACTCTGTGGTTTATAACCAAAGCAATCTAATTAAAAATACAAGAATGGAACTCATTATTATAGAATGACAATGATACGGTAGAAAAGAAGCATATTTTTACTTCAGTTCTATAATCTAATTGTTACTTTTATTTTCTTTTAATGAAAATTTAAGCTTACTTTGCTCTGATGACCTCCACTTGCCCATTCTATAACAATTTTATTTTTTTAACATTCCAATTTAGATTGGTCGTCAGAATTTATGCAATAATTGTAAAATTAAAAACACAAATGTTAAAAATAAAAAAAATTTTAAGAAAATAAAATTGTTCCTCTGGAATGCTGGACCGTGTTTCATACACTCGGAACATTTCTCGTATCTCCATCTAGACAAATAAAAAATATATATTTTTCAAACTTTAAAAACATTGACTTTACATTTATAGCAAAAAGAATAAATTGATTAAAAACTGGAGAGGAGAGGATTAGTTGGAATAGATTTGAATTAAAAATTAGGCCAAGGTATAAACATGAAACAAACATTGAATTTAATTTTTACGTTAGAAACAGTTTTATTTGTTCATTTTCAAGTCGTTCGCTGGTTTAAATAATGATGGCACCATAGCTTCAGTAGAAGTAAATATTTCCATTTACCGATTTAAAGATTCATCTCTAATTGGATAATGAGCTAGATGTTACGGCCATACTATTTCTATTGGTTCAGAATATACAACAAACAGATGACTGAACCTGAGCTGGAAACTTTAGAATTGATATCGGGATTAATGCTTGATCCACTCTTTTTCTTAATCTCCAGATTAAATATTGCTTGTTCTCCTCATGAATTTAATCTCCAGATTAATTAACAGATGGGGATTAAGGATATCACATTCTAAAGTGTTTTGCTCTGATTGCATCAGGTGCTAATGGACTCGGCATAAAGGAGTGATAGAATGAAAATAATGTAAAGATACCTTGCTTCCTTTATCAGTTTCTTCTTGTTTCTTATCCCCAGTAGAATCTGATTCTCTTCGTCGCCTTCCGAAACTGTTATCTCTGCCTGCAAAATCTTTAAGCTCTTTATTTCTACACTTGAAATTAAGAAATAAAAAAATCGCTTATTTGGCAGCAAAGTTGGAAAGCTGCCAATGAAGGAACAAAAAATTGCTAATATTCAACAAAAAACGTTTATTTGGCAGCAAAAAGTTTAATGACTGCAAAATAAGCGATTTTTGTCGCTTATTTCGTAATATAGAATAATACTTTGAAATAGATTGTTTTGCAAAGATAACTGTAAACAGTTTTTATGAAGTAGCAATGATCAGTGAAAATGATTTGTTATTTTTTTTTGACGAGAGATGGACAATTTTTTCGTTTTTAAGTAGAGATGAACAATTTCTAACATATAAGATAATATATAAGATATATGCTTTTTAACATGATTAATTTTCTTTTTTGCGTATTTATAAATTTTTGCTTACTATAACTTCTTATTCATAATATTTCTTTCTAAAACCAGACAACAACATAATTTTAGGCGATCTCTTCTAAAGAGCAGAGTGCCCGAGTCATCATTTCATAACGTGCCCAAGTCATCAGTTCATAACGTGTCCGAGTCATCAGTTCATAACGTACCCGAGTCAACAGTTCATAACGTGTCCGAGTTATCAGTTCATAACTTGTCCGAGTCATCAGTTCATAACGTGTCCGAGTCATCAGTTCATAACGTACACAAGTCAACAGTGCATAACGTGCCCAAGTCTTCAGTCCATATAACGTGCCCGAGTCAACAGTGCATTTTTTTTGCGTATTTATAAATTTTTGCTTACTATAACTTCTTATTCATAATATTTCTTTCTAAAACCAGACAACAACATAATTTTAGGCGATCTCTACTAAATAATAGAGTGCCCGAGTCATCATTTCATAACGTGCCCGAGTCATCAGTTCATAACGTGTCCGAGTCATCAGTTCATAACGTGTCCGAGTCATCAGTTCATAACGTGTCCGAGTCAATAGTTCATAACGTTCCCGAGTCAACAGTACATAATGTGTCCGAGTCATCAGTTCATAACGTACACAAGTCAACAGTGCATAACGTGCCCAAGTCTTCAGTCCATATAACGTGCCCGAGTCAACAGTGCATAACGTGCCCGAGTCATCAGTGCATAAGGTGCCCGAGTCATTAGTTCATAACGTGCCCAAGTCATCAGTTCATAACGTGCCCTTTAACATTTTGATCCATGTAACAGTGAGGAAGATTTATTCGCTCTTCTATCTAGGACAGTGTACATTATTCATAATTTGTCACATTTGCAGATAAACCCAAATAAAGCTTGGAAATTGTTAATCGGACACTTGAAATTACGTCGTGTACAGTCCCTTTAATATAAGAATGTTCTAGAAATATCAAACTATGGCTAGATTTGTTCGATTTCTTCAATTTGAATTAAATAGCGTATTGGTCAATAGACAATAATTCATAAATCTTGAAACTTACAAAGTTGTCGTTAAATATTTTTTCATGAAAAGGCATCTGCCGACAGCGAACATTAATATAAACCCTTAATATATTTTAAATACCAGATGGTCCATCACACACCGCTGGTCTGCATCCACTCCTACACGATCTAAATAATAATAATAATAATGATAATAATAGTAATAATAATAATAATAAAAATAATAATAATAATAGTAATAATAATAATAATAATAATAATAATAATAATAATAATAATAATAATAATAATAATAATAATAATAATAATAATAATATATCTAACCTAACAGTTGCCTCAAACACTAAGAAATTAGATTCTGGAATCTTGAAAGCATTGAACGAAGTTTCCAATCCGTCAGCAGCTCTGCAAATATACAAAATCTAATGGGATGGTATCACCATATTTAAACTAACAAGGAAGCGAAGGTAAAATTGACATTACTACTACATGTCTGTGACTCCGTTGATTCTCTAGTTCTGATTTTATTCAAAAGTGTAGGAAAAGTAAATTTATTTGGTTACATATTATAATATTATTATAGTGGGAATACAACCTATCCCACTAACCTGAAGTAACCAAGGGCTGGGAATACAACCTATCCCACTAACCTGAAGTACCCAAGGGTTGGGAATACAACATATCCCACTACCCTGGAGTAACCAAGGGCTGGGAATACTACCTATCCCACTGACCTGGAGTAACCAAGGGCTGGGAATACAACCTATCCCACTAACCTGGAGAGACCAGAGCTGGGAATACTACCTATCCCACTAACCTGAAGTAACCAAGGATTGGGAATACAACATATCCCACTAACCTGGAGTAACCAAGGGCTGGGAATACTACCTATCCCACTGACCTGGAGAAACTAAGGGGCGGGAATACTACCTATCCCACTAACCTGGAGAGACAAAGGGCTGGGAATACTACCTATCCCACTAACCTAGAGAGACCAAGGGATGGGAATACTACCTATCCCACTAACCTGGAGTAATCAAGGGCTGGGAATATTACCTATCCCACTAACCTGGAGTAACCAAGGGCTGGGAATACTACCTATCCCACTGACCTGGAGTAACCAAGGGCTGGGAATACTACCTATCCCACTAACCTGGAGTAACAAAGGGCTGGGAATACTACCTATCCCACTGACCTGGAGAGACCAAGGGCTGGGATTAAAACCTATCCCACTGACCTGGAGAGACCAAGGGCTGGGAATACAACCTATCCCACTGACCTGGAGAGACCAAGGGCTGGGAATACAACCTATCCCACTGACCTGGAGAGACCAAGGGCTGGGAATACTACCTATCCCACTAACCTGGAGAAACTAAGGGTTGGGAATACTACCTATCCCACTAACCTGGAGTAACCAAGGGCTGGGAATACAACCTATCCCACTAACCTGGAGTAACCAAGGGCTGGGAATACTACCTATCCCACTGACCTGGAGAGACCAAGGGCTGGAAATACAACCTATCCCACTGACCTGGAGAGACCAAGGGCTGGGAATACAACCTATCCCACTGACCTGGAGAGACCAAGGGCTGGGAATACAACCTATCCCACTGACCTGGAGAAACTAAGGGGTGGAAATACTACCTATCCCACTAACCTGGAGAGACCAAGGGCTAGGAATGTAACCTATCCAACTGACCTGGAAAAACTAAGGAGTGGGAATACTACCTATCCCACTAACCTGGAGAGACCAAGGGCTGGGAATACTACCTATCCCACTGACCTGGAGAGACCAAGGGCTGGGAATACAACCTAACCCACTAACCTAGAGACCAAGGGCTGAGAATACAACATACCCAACTAACCTGGAGAGACCAAGGGCTGGGAATACTACCTATCCCACTACCATAGAGAGACCAAGGGCTGGGAATACAACCTATCCCACTGACCTGGAGAAACTAAGGGCTGGGAATACTACCTATCCCACTGACCTGGAGAGAAAAAGGGCTGGGGATACAACCTATCCCACTAACCTGGAGTAATCAAGGGCTGGGAATACTACCTATCCCACTAACCTGGAGAGACCAAGGGCTGAGAATACTGCCTATCCCACTGACCTGGAGAGAAAAAGGGCTGGGAATACAACCTATTCCACTAACCAGGAGAGACCAAGGGCTGGGAATACAACCTATCCCACTGACCTGGAGTAACCAAGGGCTGGGAATACTACCTATCCCATTAACCTGGAGTAACCAAGGGCTGGGAATACTACCTATCCCACTGACCTGGAGAGACCAAGGGCTGGGAATACTACCTATCCCACTGACCTGGAGACCAAGGGCTGGGAATACTACCTATCCCACTAACCTAAAGAACCCAAGGGCTGGCAATACTACCTATCCCACTAACCTGGAGAGAATAAGGGCTGGGAATACTACCTATCCCACTAACCTGGAGACCAAGGGCTGGGAATACTACCTATCTCACTAACCTGGAGAAACCAAGGGCTGGGAATATAACCTATCCCACTAACCTGGAGTAATCAAGGGCTGGGAATACTACCTATCTCACTAACCTGGAGAAACTAAGGGTTGGGAATACTACCTATCCCACTAACCTGGAGTAACCCAGGGGATGGGAATACTACCTATCCCACTAACCTGGAGTAACCAAGGGCTGGGAATACTACCTATCCCAATGACCTGGAGTAACCAAGGGCTGGGAATACAACCTATCCCATTGACCTGGAGAGACCAAGGGCTGGGAATACAACCTATCCCACTAACCTGGAGAGACCAAGGGCTGGGAATACTACCTATCCCACTGACCTGGAGTAACCAAGGGCTGGGAATACAACCTATCCCGCTGACCTGGATTTACCAAGGGCTGGGAATACTACCTATCCCACTGACCTGGAGTAACCAAGGGCTGGGAATACAACCTATCCCGCTGACCTGGATTAACCAAGGGCTGGGAATACTAACTATCCCACTAACCTGGAGAGACCAAGGGCTGGGAATACGTATGGATCAATAGGACATCCACGGGAATCTATCAATTCAACAATTCTAAAAAAAGGAAATTAAAATAGTTTACAAACTGATCTGTTGATTAAACTTGTTTACTAGTTCATTAGTTTTTATTTTTGATTTTGTTGTTGTTTTTGTTATTTTTTTGTTGTTTTTATCGTTATTGTTGTTGTTGTTTTTGTTGTTGTTGTTGTTTCTGTTGTTGTTGTTGTTGTTGCTGTTGTTGTTGTTGTTGTTGTTGTTTCTGTTGTAGTTGTTACTTTTGTTGTTGTTATTGTTGCTGTTATTGTTATTATTATTGTTAATGTTGTTTTTGTATTTAGAAATGTTGTTGTGGTTGTTTTTGTAATTTTGTTGTTATTGTTGTTATTGCTGATGTTGCTGTTTTTATTCTTATGGTTGTTCTTGTTGTTGTTTATATTATATAATACCTGTCAGAATAAGGATCCTTTGCAATAACATTTGTAGCAAATATATCCCTGAAAAAATAAAAAATTTAATTTTGTAAAAACTTAAATTCATCAAATCAATACTCATGTTCATCACATTTATAATCATATTAATCATATCTATGATCATATTCATCATATTTATGTTTACATTCACCATATCTATGCTTGTATTCATAATATTGATGCTCATATTCATCATACCAATACTTATATTCATCATATTTATGATCATATTAATCATATTTATAATCATATTAATCATATTTATGTTTACATTCACCATATCTATGCTTGTATTCATAATATTGATGCTCATATTCATCATACCAATACTTATATTCATCATGTTTATGATCATATTAATCATATTTATAATCATATTAATCATATTTATGTTTACATTCACCATATCTATGCTTGTATTCATAATATTGATGCTCATATTCATCATACCAATACTTATATTTATCATATCAGTGCTCATATTCATGAATTTGTCCATGTAGATTATAGTACAGAAACACATTCATGCACGAAATACTTATTTTCGGATGTCTTTAAAATGCTTGTACAACTCACCAAATCTGAGTCGTGTACACATTTATGAATCCACGTACAAACGATTTTAATATTCATGTACAGCTTTTGTACACTGTGTTATAGTGTGTACACCATGTATTGTATACCTGAGTAGGTTTTCTCCTTCTTGAGTCTCAAGTTTGAACTGAAGAGGATCTCCGACAGCTATCGTAGTTGTTGGACGATCCTTGAAATTAAAAAGATTGGACGATCTTTGAAATCTAGTTTGTTGGACGATCCTTGAAATAAAGAAAGTTGGAAATCCTTGCACTAAAGAAGGTCGGATTATCCTTGAAATAAAGATGGTTGAACGATCCTTCAACTAAAGAATGTTGGACGATCCTTAAAATAAAATGAGTTAGGCAATCCTTTAAACAAAGTAGATTGGACGATCATTAAAATAAATGGTTGGACTATTCCTGAAATAAAGTTAGAAAATTTTTTTTTGCAGGTAGCCGTTAGTGATTAAGGTAAGAACGGAATGAACGTTTCGTTAATGGTATTATCTGTTTTATGAAGTTACCACTAGTTAACGATCTCAGTTTTAATAATGGCGTTAATGAAAGATTGTTTGCAACAATTAAAAAGAAGGTTTTATGAAATAATATTGGGCTGAAGACAGCATGAAAAAACATCAAAATCTATAGAAATTTTATTTGCATGTGTCATGCAATTTTAGCAGAAAAAAAGAACAAAAGTTGCCATTCATTAACAGACTCTTAATCTGATTTACTTAAACCTCTGTTTCGTTAACGGAACTCCTAGCCTTAAATGTAATTAAAAATTGGTTACCTGATACTTGATGACTAGTCTGACCCTACTATCCAGTGTGTGCTCAGCTGGCAGGTATTCAATTGGAACAGGTTGCCCAGATCTTATAATATCAGAATATATTATTTTTTAAATTATAAAATTTTACATTTTTCGAGTTCTAAATAATCATGTCGTTGCCTTTAAAATTAAGAACTAAGAATTTAAAACTAACCCTGCTCCGATATAACCGGAAGTGACGACAGCTGATCCTGGACCACGTGTAGTGCACGTGAGGTTGTACTTCATATCCATGTTAGTCTGAATATCTTCGCTGAACTGAACCACCACTATGTTGGTGATCGTATCTCCATACTGAAAAATCATTACAATTTAAAAAATGCGCTTAAACTTTACTTCATGACTACAACTCCGTCAATGTTCCTGTTTGCCGCCCTGTACACCGTGAATCCTGCCATGATGTCCCTAAACAGATTTATAAATTGGTTCCTAGACAGAAATGTTACAGTTAAACAGGAGAGGTTTGTCATCAGGCTACAAAAGAGGTCTACAACAGAGTACCCAGGAAGTAATGTACTGAAGTTACAACAGAAACCAAGAAAGGAATATATGAAGATGTAGAGTTGCTGGAAATGAAGAAGTATGTAGAAAAATAAGGGATAGATAACCCTATTTATCAGCACTCTCTTACAGCACTCCCCCCCCCCCCATTGTACCAAATATTGTAGCAGGCCCTACTCCCTATATTTGTTAACCTGAATATGCCTAGATATATTACGTTGTACATTGTCTGTAAATTTAAATGTGCTTATCATAAACTATGTAACATGATTAAAACATGTATTGTGATAGATTAACTACGTTATAGCTATCCGAGCTAATCTTATAAAAACATACATTAAACTTAAACTACGCTGCATATTTACTGACGTAAAACTTGTAAATTACGTCAATTACCTTTAACTTGTAACATATAAACCTCCTATACATTAGTTGATATAGAGACTCCAACTTGATTGCAGCGAGAGAGTAATTGGTTATCGTTGAAACATAGGAGCTGAGATCATGCCCCATTTGTTGGCATTGATCGATTAATAAATAGCTAGTGTTCATGTTGACATTGGTAGCTTGGCATCGATAGATTAATAGCTATTAGCTAGTGTCCGTGTTGACATCAATAGCTGACGAGATCGCACCCATTGGTTTGGCACTGATAGAATACGAGCTAGTGTCAGGTTGACATAGATAGCTAATGAGATTGCGCCCATTGGAACCTGGATAGATACAGGTCTGAGAGCAGTTTATGGAGTAGGGCATTGACTACAAGTATACACTAGAGGCTATGGGGAACTTGAGTGTATATAGCCACCCCCTTTCACAAAACCTTTATTTGGAATTTCCGAAATTTTTATGTCTGACGTTTTCAGAAAAAAATGGAAAACCTATGCATCACTATCATATTCATGAAAATGAGCATACACAATATCGTTGGATTTTCAATTTGTCATAAATGTTTTGGTGGCATATTTCTTTTCAATTCTCTTATTCAAACAGAAAGAAAACTATTATAGATATTTAAAGTAGAATCATCACATAGATTCAGCCTGCTTATAAAAAGTTTCATCAATTTTTAAGACAGGGTCAACTTTGAAGTGTTGCAATGCCTGGGGCTTAGATTTTACCGCTCTACCTCACTTATTCTTTTATGTAGCCATTTACATGTACATTCTAGCACTATAAAGCACTTGCTGTTGGTTTTGGTTTTTAAGAATTAATTGGCAAAATTCTCATTGATTTTTGCTTCAGAGCGTGAAACCTTCAAATCACATTAATCAATCTACAGGGTTACCCACATAGAAGAAGATTGCAAAGACGACTGTAAAATATCTTTAATAAGAGATTTTAAGTTTAAATTTAGTCTTCTGCATTAAATTTATTATTTTATTGGTTTATTTAATAATTTGGCAACGAAAAAACAAGTTTTAAGTTGCAGTGAATCATGAATATAATAAAACAGAGGCCGAATTTAAAGAATTTGAGCCGCGGCTTAAATTTGAGACGCGGATTAAATATGATTGATTCTACTTAAAATTGTATTCAATTGCGCTCAATTAAAACCGGTTTTTGGCGGATAAAAATTTTTAAAGACGACCTTCAACAACTCTTTTGCAAAGCATGTATAAATCATATGTTAGGGCGGGACGGGTCGATCTCTTCTCCATTTTATTCTATACTCCTTGGATGAGACTCTTAGCACGACTAGAAATTTTTTGGTTGCGGCGATTTACATGGTTTATCACAAGACTTAAAAAAAGACACTTAAGTTTATAATTGCAGGGAACTAGAAATGTGACAAAAAAGACGGAATAAATATATATAATCTCTTCTTTCGTGTACTCTCATCCTTTGTGGATAATTTTATACCTGACCAGTACCACAGTCTGGGATAATTTTATACCTGACCAGTACCACAGTCTGGGATAATTTTATACCTGACCAGTACCACAGTCTGGGAACCCTCCACTCCCTGGTATCCGAAGTGTGTGCAAATTACCCCCAGTTCCTCTGACATAGCAACCAGATCTGGAAGAAAAATATGAAAGTGTTTAATAAAGATGCTGCTTAAAAGGGATCTAGACTAGATTCTAAGTAACCAATTTAATATTTCTTAGTTCAAGATTATATGAGTACATTTTTTTTTAAAACGATGAAGGATGTTAAATGAATTAAACTCTTTAAAAAACAACGACACCTCCCTCTTTGTTACTAAGATTTAAGGAGGGTTGCGCTCGAAACCAAGGAGTATGAAATAGAAGGGAGATTATGATTATACATGCTTTGCAGACGGTACTTCATTTGAATAAGAAATATTTGTCTGATGTACAATTACCGCGCAGTTTTATCTCCCTTCTTTTTCATATTTCTTGCTCGAAACTCTTCCTTTTTATTTTCTCTACAATGGTCAACGTTCATATCAATACAATGTGCTGAATAAAGCTTGTTAAAACTATTAGAAAGATCTCACAATTATATTGACAATGCCGACCAATTTACGATGAGAACTAGAAAACTCTGGAATAGACTTTAAATAGTCCAATGAATCAACATGAGACACATCAAATGTGCAGTGTAAACAGATCCATTTCACTCAATAAGGGATTTCATAAGTAACTTTTTAAACAATTTCCTTTGGAACAACATCAAATACACTTAATTATTGCTTTTGTGTCTTCTTTCTATTGCACAGTTTTCTGGTTCTCACTGTATGAGAAAACCAGGTTGTCCTAGCCGCGGCGCTAGGACCGGATTAGTCTGACTGCATAGTTGTAAAATTGAGCTATAAGCCTACCTGCCATAGTTATTGTGTGTATAAATTCTTCCTCTAAACCCTTCAGGTGTTTTCAAGGTAAACGCCATCCCATCTTGATCACAGGTCTGAGACACTTAAACATTCAATACCTTAGAACTAGTAACTACAAAAATATTTCAACATTAGTTTTGTTTAAATTAAACTCACAAAATTATGTGTCTTTACTCTTTAGCAGAAAATAAATTTGCGCAAAGATATGGATTCCATGGCAATAATGAGAATTATAATGATGTTAAAACTTTTTTTTTTTATAAAAAGTATTTAAAATAAACTATGAGAAAACGAAGAAAAAAGAAACTTTTTATTATTTTTTATGGAAAATTTTAATACTTGTTCATGTAGAAAAAACGTTCAGTGAATATCAAATTTCAAATGTTTTCAGTTGCATTTCAAATAGGTTAACACAGTGCTATATTTTTGTTAATATCACAAATGTGTCTTATTTTTATTTTAACTTTGTGAAAATCCAACCAAATCTTGCTCAATCTTGATCACTCACTCGTGCCACAAGTTGTTAGTTTCGGCCCAATAAAGATTGGAATCCCCAAAGATATGTTTTCTTATGTTAACAAAATCATTGAGATCCCAATATGTCTGTTTAAAATGGAGAAATGTAAACACAGCTGTAGAGATGGGCGTCGTTTCTATGATAGAACTAAATTTTTGAGAATCAGCAAAATTGTCGTATGGAGAAAAAAAACGAACAATGGACAAACGATTTGGATCATTCAGAGAAATGAAAAAAACGATCGTTTTTTAAAAACAAGCAAAAAACGATCGATTTAAAACTGTTCCAACGAACTTTAAAAAACGACAGTTTTTCCACTGAACGAACAAATTTTCCAGCAGAACGAACGAACAATATTTAAAACTAACTTTTAAAAAAGATCGTTTTTTCAACTGAACAAGCGATTTTTTCGAACAAACTTTTAAAATTGAATAAGCGTTTTCTGAACAAACGATTCTACTGAACGATCATTCTGTGAGAAAACGAACAAAGCAAATGGAAAATAAAGGATATTTTTAAGTTGAACGATTGAAAAAAAATAACGAAATGAAAAAAGCCGAACGCGCTCATCTCTACAAATCTTTAAGGGTTCCTCGTTTCAATATTTCTAGGCCACGCCCAGGATGCTGAAATTTGATGCCACACACTGGCTTACCATCCAAACATCCCCCCTGTCCACCCTGCCCAACCCTGCTGTAGAAATCCCAATCTAACGTTTCTCCCAAATCAAATTGATTTAGATCTCTCTCCGCTAGATCACTGATTTCACAGTTATCCCTACGTCCTCTTGTCCTAGAAAAGTTAATTTAAATGTATATTACAAAATATAAACCTACCATCAAGACAACTGTCGTCAGTAAACTCTTGTTTGGCCTCACGTTGGTAGTAATCAAACCGTTCACTCTGCTCGAATGCCACGGGATTATCAATATCATAATCATAACTATTCTTCTCACTTAGTTCACAGTTCTCTTCAGTGGTAGGGGAGAATCCAACACTACTTTAAACAGAATATCGGCGTAATTTCAAGAGATACTTTATTGATTCACAACTTATAAACCTGGTCTGAGCAAAAATGAGATATCCTTGTTTTTCAAAGTAAAAATTTATAAATTATTTTGAAAGTTGCTGTCTCATTTCTACTCAGTCAAAGGTTTAAAGTGTATTGTTGTAAATTGGAATTCTTTGAATAGAGCATCACATGAAATTTTGCCGACGGTCCATGGTATATATATATTTTAATGATAAATTATATTGTTATATGTGCAAAGAAGAATTTTTTTCTGCAAAATTCGTTTTTTTGCTTGTATCATAAAAAAAGTAAAATGTGTGCAATGTGCATAAGTTTAAAAATAAATTAGCATTAATAAATGTTAAATGTAATTCAGAGGATATTGCAGCTATGATTTTTAGGGAGTTTATTTTTGTTACATTTTAATTATTCATAAATTTTTGTAACAGAGAGTCACAAGACAAAAGCAAATTTTCGTATCTCCAGACGGCCACAAACAAAGAGAAAAGAATATATATTAGAGTGGAATTTAGCCAATCCCTTGGAATGAATGGCCGTTTTACACTTTTTTCTAGTAAATTCTACTCTAATATACATTCTATTCTCTTAGGCCACAAATCTGCCGAAATATCTGTAGGCCCCTTTGGAAATTAACTTGCATACATGCTATACCGACGATTTTTGGAGTTTTACATCTAACCCCCCCCAAAAAAGGAGGGATGGGGGTAGTAGTAGTATAAGTCATATCATCATTTGATTTTATTTAGCATGAATCATTTAGGGATTTCAAACTGAGAGCGTACACCGGAAGGAAAGTACAATTATGTGTTTATATTATTATTATATCACAATTTAAACTAAATTGATTTGACCTACATCAGAATTTGTCAGTTCTATTAAATATGAAATGAAAGTTTGATGAAAAAGATTGTTTAAATGTTGAATGAGGATAAAAAAACCAAAAATAATTAAATAAGAGTTTAAACGTACCTAAAAAAATTAAGTTACATGCATCTATCTTTTATATACACATATACTTTGTTTGGGTGTCTGTTTGTTAGTATCCAATAAACGCCTAATCGGCTGAACCGATTGGGCCCAATTTTTTTTTGAGACTTCACATGTTCCCAGGAAATGTTTACAAATGATAGTTTTGCCTTCAAAAAAATTTGATTGTCATTAAATGTTGAAAATCCAGCATTTTTTTTTTTATAAAATCCACGAATTTTTTTGTTCTTTTTTTTACAATGTATAGAAATAGAAGAGAAGATGAGCGCGAAGCGTCCTAAACGCCTAGTTTCAAAAATTGTTATAAATCTACTTAGAGAGTGGTATACCTTATTCACATTTAAATCTTCGCCTGAGGAAAAATAACGAAGATATTCGTATTTTCTACTTTTGTGAATATGTTTTTTCTTTTTTAAAAAAGAAAACTTGAATTAAGGATTAAATTGACTTAATTCCAAACATTTCAGCTGAACAAACAAGGATATTTTCAACATTATTCACCAGGTAAATGTTCACACGTTTTGTCTTTTGTGAATCAGACATGTTTCTCTTTAACTGGAAACCCACTTAAAATTACAAGGACAGCCCCTTTCTAAAGATATCAGATTAAAATAAAAATGATGAAAAGATATGACTGAAGAATCGAGTATTTGTCACAAACTCAAATTTTACTTATCCTCAAATGTTTGCACCCTCATGGTGGAAACTGTTGATATTTTCATCTATTTGATCTAACATATTTCATAGTTTGAAATATTAAACATTAAAGATCTACGACATTGTGGGCAAATCCTGTTGGATCAAAGTGTTTTTGTTTTGTTTTGTTAGGTTTTCAAGATTCCTTAGTTCCTAAATATTTTAACTTACATATAGTTAAAGGATAAGCATTTAAAAATCCGTTCTCTCAAACACTCTTGTTCACATTCAAATAGACTGTTAACCGTGGCAAGCCTTCATCACAAAACAATTTTTCGTTGGGTTTTAAAGATTCTTTGCCTCATAGTCTAATTTTGTTATACTTATATATTTGCATGATGATGATCTATGTCTTTTATATTTTAGATTATATCTTCTTAGGCCGAATTAAAGGACTTAGAGCCGCGGCTCATACATGGTTGTATCCACTTGAAATTGTATCCAATGTTTCGAGATTTGTGACAGCGCTCAATTGGAACCGGTTTTTGCGGTTAAGCAACGTGGTTTAAATTCTTTAATTCGGCCTCTGTCAAAGTTTAAAACACCAAATGTTTTCTTTTTTAGGTTACAAAGATATAAGGATTCCTTTCTTGTTGATTTTCAAATATAATAAATCTGAGAAAGGAAAATCGAAACAACAAAAATTAACATTTCTCTCTTAGAATTTCTTAAGATATTATGAGGACTGTATAGTGTAAATGCAACTTTTGTTAATTTTTTTTTCAAAAAATATTTCAATTTAATGAATTGTTTTTGTTTTCCTGCGAATGAATTGCTGTCTCAATCTTGTTCTGGAACGGACCTGAAAAAGTGTATTCTACTTTATACAAGTGTATCCTGGTGTACCCAAATGTATCTTGGTGTACCCAAGTGAATTCTTATGTACCTAGGTGTATCCTGATGTAACAAAGTGTATCCTGGTGTAACCAAGTGTATCCTGTTGTAACCAAAGTGTATCCTGTTGTAACCAAGTGTATCCTGTTGTAACCAAATGTATCCTGATGTACCTAACTGTATCCTGATGTACCCAACTGTACCCAAGTGTATCTTGATGTAACCAAGTGTATCCTGTTGTAACCAAAGTGTACCCTGATGTACCCAACTGTACCCAAGTGTATCTTGATGTAACCATGTGTATCCTGATGTACCTAACTGTATCCTGATGTACCTAACTGTATCCTGATGTATCCTAGTGTATCCTGGTTTACCCAAGTGTATCCTGGTTTACCCAAGTGTATCCTAGTGTATCCAAGTGTATCTTGGTGCACCCAAGTGTATCTTGATGTACCCAAGTGTATCCTGGTGTACCCAAGTGTATCCTGGTGTACCCAAGTGTATCTTGATGTACCCAAGTGTATCTTGATGTACCCAAGTGTATCCTGGTGTACCCAACTGTATCCTGATGTACCTTGACTGTATCCTGATGAACCCAACTGTATCCTGATGCAGATGTACCAAAGTGTACCCTAGTGTACCCAAGTGAATGTTGTTGTGTACCCTGATGTGCCCAAGTGTACCCAAGTGTTCCCTGATGTACCCAACTGTACCCAGGTTACCCAAGTGTTTCCCCTGGTTCACCCAAATGTTTCTTGATGTATCCAAGTGTATCCTTATGTACCCAACTGTATCCTGATGTACCTGTAACTGTATATTGATGTACCCAAATGTATCCTAATGTACCCAAGTGTATCCTGATGTACCCAAGTGTATCCTGGTGCACCCAAATTATCCTGATTCTGATGTACCCAAGTGTACCCAAATGTATCCTGATGTAACCAAATGTAGCGAAGTGTATCCTGTGTGTTTTGATGTATCCTGTTTGTATCCTGCATCCCGTACCAGATGTACCCTGATATAAATAAACTTGTTTTACCTGTCTGAATGAATCTCCAGTACCCGGATCACATCTGCTGGTTCTACCTCCGGATGGATACCGGATAGGTGGTCCTGTTATAGGAGGATATCTACCAGGACCTAAACAGGATATATATTCTACCCCCGGATGGATATCGGATTTGTGGATGGAAATGTATATATGGTACAATTACAATACACTAGCTGGTACCAGTAAATACATATATGATACAATTACACTAGACTGGATGGTACCAGTAAATGTATATATGATACAATTACACTAGACTGGATGGTACCAGTAAATGTATATATGATACAATTACACTAGACTGGATGGTACCAGTAAATGTATATATGATACAATTACACTAGACTGGTTGATACCAGTAAATGTATATATGATACAATTACACTAGAATGACAGGTACCATTATATGTATAAAGTGCAATTACACCAGACTGGTCGGTACCAGTGCATGTTCGTAATGTTTCGGATCTTGCCATGATTGGACTAGTGCAAGTTCATTAACTTACTAGGTGGGGATGGTCTGAAGGCTCCTGGGTAGCGATCATAATATCCAATATTATCCTGGGGCCCTACAATATTCATGCAATTATTCTACTAGAAGCTAGCTATGGCTTGTTAAAGGCAGGTCATGATATTCCATCTCAAATTTTGTCCTGAATAAACACTTATTATTTGTTTCGTATTATCAAACTTACCAAAACCAATTTGTAATTACAAACCTTTTGTTATATAACAATTTGTGAGTTGTGCTTAACAATTTGTTCATGATTTGGAACCAAATGTTCGAAAACTTGAAAGCTTGATTTTAGAAACAAATTTGACGATTTTAAAGATTTTTAAGATTTTATATTGGGGCTGCACAAAAATATTAGATCTCATATTCCAAAATCTCGTCTGATATATCAAAACAATTTTCCAAAACGATGTTATATATCTTTTCTTTTTTAGTTTTTGTCTATCATATTATGTATTAAAGCAAACTTCGTTGCCATAAAGGATCTAATGACTATTTGTTAGCAATAGTTTGGTAATGGGTAATTATCACTTGTTGAAAAACAGTCATTGATCTATGTATGTTAAATTAATTTATTCATCTAAACTATTCTATTTATTTCTAAATCATGAAGCACTGTTAAAAGTATTCTCTTGTCATGTTAAAATCAATGTCATGCAGTTAATGGTATTAACTAAAAGAATTAGAATAACAATTTCCAGCGGAACGACCTTCGGGCTTTGAATTTTACACTGTTTATCTAAATGACCCGATTGAATTTAAAACCAATTGACAAAATGTTGAATTCTAGACACAAAGGTAAAATTTTAAGAAAGAAATTATGGAAGCGGCTTCAGGCTTTGATTTTGACTCTATTCTTAAAATTGATCCGATTGAAATTTTAAACAATTAAAATAATGTAAAAAAAACTTTTGTTTCTAGACACAAAGGCAAAATAAAAAAGATAAAATTATAGAATCTTAAAACCCGACCATGGGTCGTCCTAAAACCGACCATGGGTCGTCCTAAACCCGACCATGGGTCGTCCTAAACTAGACCATTGTTCGTCCTAAACCCGACCATGGGTCGTCCTAAACCCGACCATGGTTCGTCCTAAACCCGACCATGGGTCGTCCTAAACCCGACCATGGATCGTCCTAAACCTTAAATCGTCCTTTAAATTACACTATTTTTAGAGGTCCAAATGTTTTTCTTAAAAATTATCCGAATTTTATCTGATTAAAAAAATTTTAAAATAGAAATTATGGAATCTTACAAAGGGCTTTGGTTTAGACACTATTTTTGAAAAATTTAACCGATTGACAAAACGTTAAAAAAAAACTTTGGATCCTTGACAGTGGGGTGAAAGTTCCAAAAAAAGAAATAATGGAATCTTAAAACCCGACTGTAAGTGGTCCTAAACCGTTAACCCTCCATTTAAGGTACTCATAATACTATTGGCATGCTTAGAAAAGGATTTGTATAAGTACCACCAGGAAACAGGATTGAAGTCGGAGACAGAGGACGGAATGGACCAAGAGGATTGACCTCCGGAGAGAAAGGATTGACCACCGAGGATAGAGGAGGAAGTGCCGGGACCTCCGGCGGAAGGAAAACGGAACCAAACAGTTTGCGGTTTGATTTATCGATAGGGGAGGATATACCTAGGTTCGGGTTCCGGTTGGGTAAAGGACCCCCAGGTCCAGCAGCTTGGTCTACAAGCATATAAAGCATATAATTCAATTAAAGGACTATTTCTGTATTTGATAAACGTAATACCCTAATACAGTGGTAGGCAGCTATATTAATACAACAAAGACGACTTTCGATTTCAATTTTGACTTTTATCAAGATGGTAAACAGCTCATAGATACACATAAACACAGAAATCAAGAGAAGTTGTTAATTGAAATAGCTTCTCTTTATTTACTTGTAAACTTGTATTTTGAGAAGGCTTCTTAACAATCAAAACTTAGATAAAAAGTCGTCTTCATAGTATTGATATAATTTCCTACCACTGTACCAAAACTATTAATGTTCCTGCCAGGATATTCAAATAATTCTGTGTAATGTTCCTAAAAACGGTATTTGTCATTTTCTAGAGAGTTTTTAGATTTTTTGCCAAACTTTTTGATTATTCTGGGGCCTCAGGATCATCTTTGATCGATATATAAGATAGACTTAGTTGTGCCCTTACACAAACAAATTTAGGACATTTATAAAACTCCGGTAGACAGTATATGGGAATCATTTCTTGATTCGTTTAAAAAAACTTTAGAAAGAGGTTTCCACAAGAGTTTTACACGTTTTTTCATATTTTAAAATTTGTATCACAAAGAAACTAAATCTTTGCCACAAATTCTGATTTTCTGATTCCCTTATCTTTGCAAACCAATTTCGGAGACCTTAGATATTTCAAACTATAAAAATTTGTTAAATCAAATAATCAAAGTTTGCAACCTGATGGTTTTTCCACCATCAGGTTGCAAAGATTTTAAGTTTTTGACAAAGACTCAGTTCCTTTTCTTTTGCCACATTCTTAAAAACTTTTTAATTCACCTTTAGGCATCATCTACATTAGGCCAAACCGACATTTGATAACGATTAGTAGATATTCAATCTTATTGAGAATGCTATTAAAAAATGATCATCATACTTGTAGAACCTCTTGACTTAAACCTATTGAGTAATCTCCAACTTCCCAAGCTTTTTTTTTCAACTGAAAAATTTCTATTGTTTGCGAAATTTTTTGAGTTTTAAAGGACATTACGCAAAAAAAAATGAATTCTCTCAATCTACGAGCTCTACAGTAACAATAGCTAGCTGAATGGATTCAACTGTTCCTGGCCAGGGAGTTGAGAATGTGAGCAGGAAGTGCGTCATTTAGACAAGGAACATAGCAGCAGAGATTATGACGAGCTTGTATAGTAGAAAGAATTGATATATTGTTACCTATAATATTCTCATAGTAGTCAAAGAATGGGTCGTATAGAATTCTACTGTCTCTTTGGTTAAATGTTGATAATTTACACTCTCGACTCCGGGCACTGTACACTATCGACATACACCTTGAACAAAACAGATTATTTTAACGACAAATATAATCAAGGGGGCGAAGACCTTTTGCCCACCCCAATTTCATTCAATGCCCCTCTCAGTCACTTTTAATTTCTTTAAAGTTTTAAGTATACTACTGCAGCCTTAAATTGGTAATTTTACATTTTGTAAATTGTCCAAAATATTGTATTCAGTACACAAACAATCAAAATTTCACGATAAATAAAATTATTTGGCAACACAAATTGGATGACTGAAAAATAAGCGATAAAAACGCAGATATTCAACAAAATTATCGCTAATTTGGCAGTCGTCCAACTTTTGCTGCCAAATCAGCGATTTTATTATTTAATAATTTAGAGTGTAAAGAGGATGTATGCAGGATAGATAAAAGTACTATTCCAAAATTTAATTCAATTCAAAAACTAAACGCTGAAACTTCGGTTAAACATTTTTAAATAAAAAAGTATTTTCTCTGCTTCTCACTACGTAAACGTAGTTTAACTTAATCTACGTAGTTCAACTACTTCCCGTTATTCATAAGTTCTGAATATAAAACTTACTTAGGACTAGCGTGCAGGCATTCATCCAAGCACCTACTGAGTTCTACCTCACGAATAGTTTGACTAAACTCAGCCTAAAGATTTTAAGTTAAAGGGACTGTAAGCTTGATTTTAAGTTAAAGGGACTGTAAGCTTGATTTTAAGTTAAAGGGACTGTAAGCTTGATTTTAAGTTAAAGGGACTGTAAGCGTGATTTTAAGTGACTTATCCTTCAAAAATGTCAGAATCACAACGGTACCCTTAAAACCTTTATCCAATTGGAAAACATATTTTTGTTCGTCTAGATTCAAAAGCGTTTAATTCTGATCATTCTTGTGTTTTTCTGCAATATATATAATTAGAATTGATTATAGTAATCACTGTATAAGGTTATAAACATTTATCTAATGTAAACTTGATCATTCCTGTGTTTTTCTGCAATATATAACCAAAAAGTAATGACTGTATAAGGTTATAAACATTAATATCTAATTTATACTTGATCAGACAAAGCTTTTAAGAAGCATTGTCATATTTGCGGAGGATCACTTGAAATTACGTTTGACACAAGTATTTTTTCAGTTTTTCATTAAAGAAAATTTGTCTTTAATTAGGATTATTTTGAAAACTGATACTTTTCTCAAATCATTCATTTACTTTCCACAACTGGAATTCCTAGATTGGAGGAGGGTGTTTTTTTCAGGAAGTTAAGGAACTTTTTATAAAAGAAATTGCAACAAATTCCTATATTCTAATTCCTATATCTTTGCAAACCATTGTCGTAGACCTTAGAAATTTCAAACTATGAATTCTGTTAGGTTAAAAATTCTAAGTTTGAAATATCAAAGGTTTAAACAATCAAGTTACAAAGAAAAAGGAATTAGAAAATTTGAGTTTGAGACAAAGACTCAACTCCCTTATTCTCTAAATGGTTAATCAAAGTAATGTGGCTTTTTTATTATCCAAAGTAGAAAATCTTAAATATTTTCAAGTTTTTTTTCAGTGTTATCGGTTGACTGGTTATATTCATATTTTGGATCTCTGCAGCTATATGTTTAAAGGAATTTAGTTTTTTGCCACAAACCTAAGTATTAAAATTCCTATATCTTTGCAATTTGATGGCGTGAATCTGTGACATTTAAAATTAAGATTATTTGCTCGAACAGAATTCATAGTTTGAATTATCAAAGGTTGCAAAGACAATTTTATTAGAAATTTAAATTTTGTGGCAAAATCTGAGTTTGTTAGTAAAGAATGCACATCTGCCCCTGTAGTTTAAGTAAATTCAACCTATATCCAAAGAATCAGTTTTGTCAATTACCATTATGTCAACTGGCCCAAATATGCACACTGGACAGTTAGGAACACTTTTTAAATTTTTAGTAATTTTGATTTGACATTTTTAAAACAAATTTAGTTTGCATAATATACATTTTTTAGATGTATATATGCATAAATATTAGAAAGTTGTTTTTTTAGAAAAATTGGTTTGAAAACGGACTGGGCAAAACTTTTGATGTTTTCTTATGTCAGAGTTTCAACATTGTTTAGGTTTACAGTTGCAATTTTAAATAGATTTTCGCAACAGGAATTTCGTGTTTATGGCCTGTAAATTTCCGTTTTGCAATATTCTTGAAAAGGCCAATGTGGGAGACTAGGAAGAAATCATCTAAGAAACCCTTAGATTTTCAATGGAGACCTTAAACTTTGTAAATCTGAATATTTGAGGTTAAAAAAAAGTTTGGGGTCTCGAATGAACATTTTGTTGTTTCTTCTCTAAAAATCTGGGGCTTTGGTGAAATGTTTGGGGTCTCCGAAGAAAAGTCTAGGGTCTTCAATAAAAAATTTGCGGCTCCAATGAAAAGCCATGGGGTCTCGATTGAAAATCTGGAGTTGGTCTCCAATGAAAATTTAAGGTTTAATACGAAAAGTTTGTGGTCTTCAATGAGACGATCATACGGGTCTCTGACTCCCAATATTGTTCCCCCCCCTCTCCCCTCCCTATATTAATTTTTGAGACCAGGCCGACTTCAAAGTATTGCACGGGAATTATTTACTTTTGAATATCTGAATAGACTTTAAGTTCATTTTAAGAAAACATTAAATAACAATGTTTGCCCCCCCCCCCCAGATAATCTCAGCCCTTTGTACTCTTCTTCAAAATACGTCTCTTGGGTCTATATCTTATTTTGTTTACAATTGAAACTGGTTTCAAACAACAACATGCAGTATGCAATTGCAGTACACAGTTCGGAAACAATATGACCGGAAAGTATGAAAATCTAACAGGTGTGCTCAACTAGGATGTACTGTACATTGTGGTAAATTCAAGCCAGTTGACATAGTGGTAATTGACAAAACTGATTCTTTGGACCTATATGAACCATAAAGTCGGACAGCGTCAACCTTGTTGCACCGGCTAGTCCAGTCTATAGAATTAGGTCCAGTACAAACTAGGACCAGAAAGGTTGACCCGGCTCGGAAATTTAAATGTACTACAACTGCCCGTGAAAAAACCAACCTGCAGAATTGAATTACGATATCGTTGAAAAGGAACTTCCTCTTCATAATATCTGTTTTCTCGTCCATACAGATACGCAACACCCTGCAGTTAACCATTTTTTTTAATAATGGAAAATTTTTCCAAATAATGGAAATTTCATAAATTCTGGCTTACATTGTTTTTAACTAAAATAATTTGATACAAATTTCATATTGTCATTTCGATATCCGTATTATAAACTTTTAAATTGAATGATTTCTTATAGATAAACTCCGTTAATAGAATATTATCAATTTGCAAAGAGGTATTTAGCATTAAAAGTTAAACTATTAAGGTGGATATCAACTGTTTGAGCGCTAAAGCCACTAAGGAATTGAGTTTTTGTCACAATTCTTGTTTTCTTATCCCTATATCTTTGCATTTTAATGTCAGAGAGAGATATTTCAAACTAAGAATTATTTTAGATCAAACAATAATAGTTTGAAATATCAAAGGCTAACACCGTCAAGTTGCAAAGATATAGCGATCTGAAAATCAGAATTTGTGGCTAAAACTCAATTCCTTTGCCAGTTTATGAATTTTTTGAATAAAAATGGTGGCAAACAATTGTCTCAAAATAAAAAAAAATAATTTACTTACAGCTTTTTCATTATTTTCAGGTTTAGCCCCTTCCACACAGAACAGTTCATACAGGGTCTCACTTGGGGTGGTAGCTAAACAAACAAAAATATTATTCATTAATTTCATTGTTTTTTAGAATATAACTTATTGAATCATCAAAAGGTCTCATTCAATGTTAATATTAATTTATTGTTAATTTTAGATCTTCATTAAACTCTCATCCTTAAAAGTTATCATTAAATCATTGTTTAAGGTCTTATCTAAACCGTAATATAACTATAATTTTTCAAACATTGACTAGTCCTTTCAAATCATGAAACACAAGGCATAAGCATTTTAAGAAGAAGNCTTAAATACACCACTGTGCGTCCCCTCCCATGATCCAAAGGTTGCATGTTTTTTTAGCTAATAAGTTCTAAAAAACAATGTGCGACACTTCAAGTCCGACCAAGTCTTTAACATTGATTCAACTTTAAATAGCGGTCTAACTTTAGATCTATGTTTTTCCTTTTAAAGTCTGTTTGTGTACTGTACTGTGTTTGCTCTATATTATCTAAAATTCGGCCCGAAGTTTTTACCTATTTTTTGAACCAATGAAAGGCTGTTTTCATCACTGAGAAAGCAATGTTGAGTTGCGGCATTGTACGTGAAACTTTTACAGTTGAACGCCAGAACTCCTACAACAATAATGTTTCAAAATATTTTTTTATAAATACAACTTTTTTACAAATGTTTCTTATACAGGTGCTAGAGTTGTTAATCGTTTTTGAAAACGATCGTTAAACGATCGTTTTTTTTTCGTTTTTCAATCGTTTTTGAAAACGATCGTTTCGTTTAGAACTTTTAGAAAATGAATAACGTTCGTTTTTGAAAACGATTGTTTTTTAAAAAACAATCGCTTTTGAAAAAACGATCGTTTTTTCAAAAAAAATTATCGACAATTATGTTAACGATCGTTAGCGAAGGGTCGTCGTTAACGATCGTTAACGAAGGGTTGTCGTTAACGATCGTAAACCAAACGACGAACTTTATAAACACGGTCGTTTTTAAAAACCATTATTATTATTCTTTGATTTAAAATACAAACGTTAAAATATTTTCCATAAAACTATTTTTTCTAAAAGAAGTTTCAGGGCCTCAAAGGTTACTGACCACAAATGTGCTTTTTTCACTTTTTTTCTGACGACTACTTTATTGTTCTACTGTACTTATTTCTAATAAACGTGAAAAACATGTTGTATCTGGAATGTGTGTTCATAAATGAAACTATTTATGAAACTAGAACAAGATAATTTGATAATTATTTTATATATTGTCCTTGAACGAATAACTAAACGCATCTAATTGATATAATTATCATGATTATTCCTACTGAGTTCGTGATTTAAAAAATTGGGGAAAATACGGCTCTGGTCTAAGCTGACGTTGGGCCTTATTTACGGCTTGAGCTTTCGGATTCAAGCTGCATCTTTTTTTCCACATAATTGAGTTAAAAAACCGGTTTAATATTCTATTTGGCGGATTTTCATGGTAAGAATTGGCGCATTCCGGGTTTTTAAGAGAACTATACTCACTATTGAGCCTTATTCTCTACTAAAACCAACCAAAGTCGGTTTAATTTTCATTGGACCTAACTCCTTAAGGTCGAGCCGAAGATCTTGCAACTGTCAATCATGTGACACAAGCTGTTGTCAGAGTTGGGTCGAAGATTGGGTCTTAAAGTCGAGTTTAAGGAATTACGACTCGAGACGAAGACGAGGGCTCTGATGCCATAAACAGATAGAATGTTCCTGCAACGTTTCCTATTTTTTACAAGAAATTTTTATTGAAGAATCAGGAATCAATACAAAACTACTCATTACTATTATTTACGATAACTTTTACTCTTTAAGATCGTTTTTTTCAATCTTTACCAGTCTTTAAAAAATGTTAACGATCGTTTAGGATCGTTTAAGATCGAGTTAATTACCTAGATCATCTCTGCAAATCTTCACACAATCGTCCAAATTAGCATCAGATATTCTAAACATAACACATTTATATGTATCCCTTTTTCTACAGTCGTCGTCTTATATATCAATACAATTAAGACAAATTTCGATTTTAATTTTGATTTATACAAAGCTCTCAAACAACATAGATACACAAAAACACGAAAAGTATAGAGAAGCTGCCAGTTAACAGCTTCTCTTTGTTTAAACTCAAAATTTCAACTTGTCGTTTTAAAAAGCTTATTTAAAATCAAAACTTAAATAGAAAACTCGTCTCCATTGTATTGATATAAACGCCAACCACCTTTTAAATACTTGCAACCACACGAGTTAAATTGAATATTTTTAAGTTAAGAAGAATTTCATTAACAAGGGATCAGCTCATTTTGAATATTAAAAAGTTTACAGCAATTTTAAAAGTTAAAAAAATATTTTTTTTGTTTGTTAAAACTACAAATATACCTTGTCATAATCTTAGAGTTAACTATATTAGCATTTTCCTCCTTTATGTACTGTGTGAACCCTTCACATCGAGATAGACCTACAGTACACAAGAGTTAACTATATTAGCATTTTCCTCCTTTATGTACTGTGTGAACCCTTCACATCGAGATAGACCTACAGTACACGAGAGTTAACTATATTAGCATTTTCATCCATTATGTACTGTGTGAACCCTTCACATCGAGATAGACCTACAGTACACGAGAGTTAACTATATTAGCATTTTCCTCCATTATGTACTGTGTGAACCCTTCACATCGAGATAGACCTACAGTACACAAGAGTTAAAATAAGTTTATGTGGTTAATTGTAATAGGTTTTAATTGGTATGCCATCTAAATGGTATTAATTGTCTTAGGGCATAAAATTCCACTATAAAAAGCCATTTTATTCCCTAAAACTCTTGTGACAGCAAAAACATCTTTATGATTCAAATTGAATTTGACGCTAAAATACATAGTATATTCACCGTGCAAACATTCGTTCTCCATAAAATAGCTGCCTCTCATACTTTTCATGTTGGAACTACTGAATCTAAAAAAAAAATATTTTTTAAACTTAAATATTAAATCTCCAACCTATATGGTAATCTAACCTCACCCGCAAATAATTAAGATTACGTCATATCAATTTGATAAAAATATATAGATGATAATTTTTAAAGAATTGAAAAATTTGTTTGATTGCACAAATATTTGTTTAAAAACCACAGTACTTTTGAACGTTAGGCCAAACGATCATTAGTTCAATTGATATGACACCACAAATTCGGACAAATCAAAAACCGGTTTTTCAAAAGCTGGAGAACATGTTCGTCTCGTCTCTGGATATTAGCGTAAGATCAAATTAATCTTAAGATTAACAAAAAGAGAAAATCAGGCATTGATCTCGAAATCTACAATTCTAAGGTATTTAAAGCATTTTCAAATATGTTAATATTATGGTACCAATATTTAAAATCTGAAGATATAGCAAAGATTAAGATTGATTTTGACCACAAACTGTTTAAGTGATCCTTCATCTATAGAGTTTGAAAAATATTTTATAAATGATTTCAACAGATATATTAAATAAGTTAAATAGGATATATATATCAATTTATGCATCTGCCATGTGTTATCATCATGATCATGCTTTTTGCAAGGATTTAACTTGAATTCTAATCGAAAACAAACAAAAAAGTAAAAATCACAACAAAAAAGGTATTTTTCATAGAAATGTGGGATTTTTTCATAAAAATCCACGAAATATGAAAGTAAACCTGCTTTGCCGGTATAAAACTATAAAATGTACGTTACTTATTTGCCCCAGAAAAAATAAGAAACTTCTTATACAGATCAGTAAAAATGCAGGATGAAAATTCCATTAAAATTAAATAAAATATTATGTAATTTTTCCTATTTTTACCTTGAAATATGACAAACACCATTTCGATCATAGATTGCACTTCGACAGGTAAACCTTTCTTCAGCTAAACATCTGAACAAAAAAATGCATTTTTAGAAAAAATATAATTTTAAAAATATATTTTTTCGTCGTACTTATCCATGCAGTCAATTCTATCTCTGGCCTGGACAATAGAGGTGTCGTTGAGAACTACCTTTAGATGGGAATATTTCAGCAAAGCAGTATAAATATCTGTTCGTTTGTTGGGCTGTCTGGGCACAGCTTATGAACCACTGACCAATTTGCCTCAATTTTAGGGGGGCACTCGTAAGAATCAAGAGAATGTTCTAAGCTGGTCGATTCATGTTTCAGACAAAGTTGGGTTCCCAGGATAGTAAAAAATAAAAGAAACTGATTACATTGCTCTACGACATTGGGTTGCAAAAATATAATACGAAATTAATAGTTTGACGAGAGCAGTTTCTGTATCTGAGCAATTTGAAAAAATGAGTGACTTAAATAGAAGAATTAAACCAGTAAGCAAGTAACTTGACGGTAAAAAAAATTTAAGCATTGATTGATTGATTGATAAAATAATATTCTCATCCCTCCATATCTGGATACACTGTGAATGCGTAGGTTCTGTTGTTGCAGACCTCCTCCATTCTTCCTCCTAGAAGTAATAATAATAATAATAATAATTAATAATAATAATAATAATAATTTCTTTTCCATTTCTGTGATTTTAATGAAAACCATAAAGAAAATCTGAAAAAATAACTCAAAAAAACTTACTGTTTAGACAGATTTGGTTGAAGTATTCCATTTCATAAGCACGTTCATAATTTATCCCTCCCTAGACAGAAAATAAAATAATGTACAGTGGTATTAAAGTTTTAACATAATCCCAATAATAGCTGGCAACATTTAGCATCAAAGGCGCTGTGTACGTAATTTAAATTGTCTTTTTATTTATATGTTTGTCAGCTGTAACTTTAAAAAACTATGTTTGATAAAGAATGCTTGATATATTCATAATAATCTCTTTGAAAATTAATTATTTTAAACTTTTAGTGCCACTTTAAGATTTCTGCAGCCGAAAATGGAGAAAATTGAAATAATAAACAGTTTTCAAGGTTAAAAAAACAATTTTATTCTCAGCATTATTGATCAAGTGTTTAAAGGGCTATGAATGGTTCATGATTTAAAAAAGAATGATGTAGAGGATATGAAATCCGCAAATCAGTGGTGTCGGATCTTGAAACCAGAGAAGACCTACACAATTTCTTTTCCTTTTATACACTCGTTATTTATCATGTAGTTATATCTATAAGCAATAAATGTACTTCTAAAATGACCCATCACTTAAAGTTATATCGATAGTCAATTTAATTAAAAAGGGATAAAATTCTAAATTTATTAATACAAAATAACGTAGAGTTTAAAAACACCTGAATAAACTTATCCTTAGAGAATACGCAGGAGCTGTCTTCCCACCTAGAATAGTCAATTATATACTTTATACTTTAATAAAAAATATACTTTATACTTTATTGAAAAATATTCTTTATACTTTATTAAAAATATACTTTATACTAAAAAATATAATTTATACTTTATTATAAAATATACTTTATACTTAAAAAAAAATAAACTTTATGCTTTAATAAAAATATACTTTATACTAAAAAAAAATAAACTTTATGCTTTAATAAAAATATATTTTATACTTTATTAAAAAAAACATCAACACGTTCAATGACATCGTTTCTGCTCATTTTTTAAATAATCATGTTCTTTTTACTTTAAGGAGCACAACAAGAATCTGTGATGTATGTTCTACTTTAAAAAGAAATTTGGCACAATTATTTGCTTAGAAGTGCATTTACTTTGGAATTTTGTAATAATTTTGTAATCATTTTGTAGTCATTTTTGTTGTCATTTTTGTAATCATTTTGTTGTCATTTTTGTAATTATTTATGTAATAGTTTTTTAATCATTTTTGTAATAATTTTGTAATCATTTTTGAAATCATTTTTGTATGAACCCTTGGACCAATTTGCCTCATGTTTAATTGAAGTACTCGTCAGAACAGGATTGTACATACCTGGTTCCAATCCATTTCCCAGGTTTGAAGGAGAATCCAGTACATAAACCTGGATTTACATTACAATGTTCTCGACACTTTGACAGTACAGCTTCAGGAGATAGGTCCGATTTGATCTAAACAAACAAAAAGTACGATATTGTACATAGATCCAGGCTGCTTTAAAACGTTGCAACATTTTAAAAGACTTGATCAACTTTACAGAGTCACAAAGGCCATTGGTTGTATTATGCGACCCTAGACATGCACATTGCACACTGTACAGATAAGAAATGTAAAGCACTTGTTTTTAACTTGAATTTTCAAGAAAGAATCGATAACATTTTTTGTTAGAGCTGGCAACCTTCGGATCATTGTGATTGCTCATTTCTATTTTATTATTCACTTTATCTCGATACTAGCCGTTTACCCGCACTTTTATAACATATGTTATTTGTTTGATATACAATGCACATAAAACGACTTTTTCCGTTAGGCGTCTCTGCCACGTGTAATCATTCAAAGCATCGAGAGCAGCGACATCTGGCGGCCAACTATTTGGGCGTTTTAAGTGCATTGGATACAAAACGAATAAAAATATTATGAAATATTAACTTTATACGAATGCGTCGAAATATAATCGATGACTATAGGTTGTAATATCTGAATGATTTTTTTGAAATTAAATTGATTTTTTTACGATCCGAGTCGTAAACTGCAAATTTCTGAATTTGTATGGACGCTTTGTTCTTCAGTATGAGTCGTTTTTTACCAATTTTCTCCTTATAGACGCAACAGATAGAAGTAAGATTAGTAGCGATCAAAACTCAAAAGCGATTATTTTTCGCTGTAAGCCTATACCCCCTTTCAATATACACTCCCTCCCTTTAACACGATCAGTTTTATAATAGGGTGTCCCACATCATAATGGATTGTTAATGGCTCTAAATCACGATTTTCCGGACTAATGAGAAAATTTAAGAAGAATGAATTATTTAAAAAAATTGTATAAGGCCAATATAAAAATTTGCTTGCAGAAAATACTAGGGTTTTCGAGAATTGTGCGCGTTTTTCGCGCGGCGTTAAACCTTGAGGATAATCTAACATGATATGGGACGCTCTGTAGGAATTACATGCCGCCATGAAAGTAATATTTCTGTGGATAACCCTGCATTATAATATAATATTACCATATCATATCCTTTGTTAAATGCTGATTTTGAATATCTCTCTAGAACTGGGGAACCAGACTCACATGTTCTTTGAGCTGAACACAATTTGGGAAATTATTATTATCTTTTTTGCATTAGAACTTGTGGAAGTGCCCGGCGTTGCCCGTGGAATTTAAAATATCAATTTAAAAAAAACCATTATTTTTTTGAAAAAAAATTTCGATTTTTTTAACATGAGCGAAAACTCAAATTATGATTTTTAAAGTCCAATGAACCAGCACTAGTACATTTTGCACACAAACCCATTTCAAGCTTTACAAGTTTATTTAAAATTAAAACCTACCGATAAAACTAAAATGTCGTCTTCCTATTCCAGAGTTAAATGGGACACTATATAGTAAAAAATTGAAGAAAATTAGAAAATTCATAATCTTTTCAGAGAAGGGGGTATTTATGCTCAATTTTAAATTTGTATAAAACTGAATATAAAAGATCTATAAGTAATAGAGAAGGGTAAACAAATTATTACTGGATCAAACACAAAACCTAAGTTTTTAAAATTTTCATCGATCACAGACGAGCTGACAAGTTTTCCCTTCATTCTCATGTTTTTTGGTTCATCCTGTACGGTGATAATCAGAATAAAGTGGAATTAATGTCACTTCGTTCAATATAACACGTAATGGTATGAATTTGTGATCTTGTATCTCCTCTAGTTATGATTTTACGCACAAATATGAGAAAGGGTAAATTATCTGCAGTTTTAGTTAAACATTTATATCAAATCATCAAATATCTATTTACTTCAGTGTGACGTGTGAAAGATTAAAGCTTAATTATTCTATAACTGAATGGTATAACTCTAAAAATGTTCAAAGCTTATGTTCAGAGAATAATTACAAATAACAAACAAATGTTCAAAATAAAATGTTAAGCAAAGACGACATTATCACTGTATATATGACAAAATATTACCATTAAACGTTTGTAACACTGTGAGAAGGGTAACAGCCTGTGCCATGGCTATCATCCTTGAACACCTTTCTAAAATAATAATTATAATAATAATAATAATAATAGAAATGATAATAATAATAACAATTCGGATATTAATGAGAGTTATATACATTAAATAATGATTACACAGTGATAACCAGAAAACTCTGGAATAGGAAGACGACTTTATAACAATACTTCAGCAAATAGTTTTACTAGACACTTATACAATCACTAATTAAGTGAAATGTGTCTGTTTACGCTGTACAATTGCCGTGTCCCATGCTGATTGGACTATTCAATCTCATATTTAGAGTCTAAAAGTCGTCTTCTATTTCATAGTTTTCTGGTTATCAATGTACAAAAAACACAAATACAGATCAATACAAAGAAATATTAGTATTTTAACAGGTCTTTTTTGATTTAATGTCCAATTGGCAAAAATAAATACTATACAGGGTGTCCCAATAAACATTCAGTGACGAATTCGATATCGTCTTTGTTATAAATTAGCATTGTAATACCTAGTTTCAAAAGCCATAATATTATTATGTCTGCTAGAGTTTATTTTATGACAAGGGTAAAATAATGCAAAGGTGTGTCTATAATGTCTCCGCAAGATGAACAGTGAAGATGGACAAGTTTACTCTGTTTGTATAGTGCAATTGTCTTGTGTTACAACCGTATGCAGTCAAAACATAAACAAACAAAATGTGCACATAGCAGACGAAACTCTTACAGATTACAGCTTACTCAGCAGGTATCACTGTACTAAATCAAATAATTATTTAAAAAGACGATATCGAATTCGTCACTGAATTCCCATTTTTATTGGGACACCCTTTACATTAAAGATTATGTATATTGATTAAATTATTTACAAAATATATTTACAACTTACATACTGTACAATGTACATATTGTACAATGTACATATTGTACAATGTACATATTGTACAATGTACATATTGTACAATGTACATATTGTATAATGTACATATATTGTACAATTTACATACCTAAGTTTTAATTAATTCATCTCCAGTTTTGGCATACATTACATAAGCCACTTTATTCACTACATTGTAGCAAAACTTAGTACTACTTAGTAGTAACCAGAAAATAGTAAACTGACTGTCGTCTGCGTTTCTTTTTTATAAGAAATGTATCTAAGTATTTTGAAATTTTTTTTCTTTTAAATGTTCGGAAACCCAGGTTACAATTACCAAATCTGTAGCGACATTTTATTAAAAATTGAAGACGACAAAGATTTAATATTTTAGTATATTTTGGATAGCACTGTATACAGTGTACACTGAAGGGTAACCTTGTATATACTGATGCTGAATAAAGTCTATATTAACTGAAGTTTATAAACTGATGTTATCCTTACATCACCACTTCCTGCACAAGGGACTGTACAATAAATATTTCCAGGGTGTTCAACAAACAACTTTAAATTGGAGTTAAGCGATACTTTTGTAAAGGAACGGTTCACTAACATAGATTAAAACGACATAGGGTCAAACGACATAGGGTCAAACGACATAGGGTCAAACGACATAGGGTCAAACGACATAGGGTCAAACGACATAGGGTCAAATAACATAGGGTCAAATGACGTAAGGTAGAAAACTTGTGACGAAAAAGAGGCAAACACGCAGCAAAGGGGAAAATAACATATTCTCGGTTGGGTTCCTCTAACGACTTATATTCCCGTCATTTTATCTTATCTAATGTCATGAACCCTTTACATTTAAAACTATGCTTTATGCTGTATGAAATATCAAAGATTTGCATCATCAGCATCCAAAGAAATACGCAAAAAAAATTGTAATTGTTATTTAAAATCATTTCAGAAACTTTTCAAGAATTCATTTTTTATTTTGTTTTAAAAACTTGTTGTTTTTTTACATACATTCAGACTGCTCTAAAATGTTAAATAATTTTTCAAGACTGGGTTTACTTCAAGTGCCCCGACGTCTTGAGCTTTTATTATTCCTCACTAATTCATTGAGACTTTTTAAGTAGCCATAGCCAGCTATAAAACATTTAATTTCAGGCTCTCTCTGCGTAGAATTACAAGACAGAGAGAGAGCCTGTTCTACACCGACTGCGCGTAACTCCTTTGGGCCTCTGCCTCAGGGTTATTGTGAACGAAAATCACCAAATATTGTAAAGACGACATCTTATGTCCTATCTTTTATTTTAATTAATCTATGGACAAAACCTTCACTTTTTTTCGCGATTAATGAATGAAAAAAAAATGTCAGCGTCTTACCTTAAAAAAAAGTTTTGGCTTTCTTTGTCTCCTTTGTCTCCCGAATTACGAGCTATTTTTCATTCCTCTGAAAGTAATAAAACATGTTTATTGTTAAAGAATTATATAGTTTTACAGCGAACCAAAACAAAAGACAGGACTGGGGTCGTTAACTCTTCAAAATAATAGGATTCAGAATAATTAAAACAACAAATTCTAAACCATTCATTTTTCTTTTGTGTCAGTTACACGTTTTGACCTTGGGACTTATTTGTAATTCTATTATAACGGATCTGTTTTATGAAATACTAGCTGAAAGGCCCGGCGTTGCCCGTGAAAAAAAAATTTAATTTTTTGTGTATAACACCCCCCGGACACCCCTCAGTGTCCACACACAACTTTAGCCCAATCGGTCCAGCCGTTTGGCCGGCTATACGCAACATATATATTTATACGAATGTCTTGTTTTATTTTATAGATTTTTGAAATATAAACATAAAATTCAAAAGGAAAGTTTCCTCAAACTCTAATTTTAATTTTGATATTTACCTTTTTGATCAATAAATGTGAATTTAAAAAGCAAATTTATTTTATATTAGAAATTCAACATTTTTTTTGCTTAAAAGCTCTTTAATCAGTGGATTTATCATTGAAATCTTCAATCTAAGTTTGAAATATCAAAGGTTTACACCTCTGGGCTGCAAGAGTGTTATACAGTAAAAGAGTTTTTGATAACAAAAGTTATTTTAAAAAGAGTTATTGATAACAAGAGTTATTCAGTAAGAGTTTTTCATTACAAAAGTTATTCATAACAAAATTTATTCATAACAAAAGTTATTAATAACTTAAGAGTTATCTATAGAAATAGTTATTCAGAGCAAGAGTGTAACCATCAAGAAAATGTAACTAATGGAAAACGTATTTACGGAAAACGTTATGACGTAAAACGTATAAATGGAAAAGGGGTGTTTGGAAAACTTATTTAAGGAAAACATATTTACGGAAAGACATTTATGGAAAATGAATTTTCGGAAAACGTATTTATGGAAAACGTATTTATTGAAAACGTATTTATTGAAAACGTATTTACGGAAACACATTTATGGAAAACGTATTTTTGGAAAACTACTTATAGAAAATGTACTTATGGAAAACATATTTATGTAAAACATATTTATGAAAACCTTTTTGAAAAATGTATTCATGGAAAACGTATTGATGGAAAACATATTTATGAAAACTTACTTTTGGAAAATGTATTTAAGGAAAACATATTTATGAGAAAGTTTATGGAAAACGTATTTATGGAAAACGCATTTATGAACACGTTTATGGAAAACGAATTCATGGAAAACATATTTATGAAAACGTTTATGGAAAACATATTTATGGAAAACATATATATGAAAACGTATTTATGGAAAACGTATTTACAGAAAACGTATTTATGGAAAACGTATTTTCGGAAAATATATTGAAAACACATTTATGGAAACGTATTGAGGGAAAACTTATTTTGTCAAATACATCATACAGTTAAGGTTTACAGCAAAAGAAAGCTTTCGCGAAAATTTTCTTTTGTATTGCGAAAATTTTTCGCATTTGTTCTACAAAAGATTGCGAAAATAATACAAAATTTTCGGCGAAACAAAAAATCTTTCAATTTCGCTGGAAACCCTAATCATACCTGAAACACAAAAAACTGTGTTCTCTCAAATAACTATATTTATGTAGCTATCAATGTATAGATCTAGAAAGGAAATAGTTACTTCCGTATTCACTATATATATATATATCTGAATACACTGAATAGGATATATGTATATAGTATAGCGCTACCACAGGAACTGACTATAAAGAGGTCAGATAGCCGTGAAAGCCGAGAATACAGGGATGTGCAATAAAAATTTTTTTTTGGGGGGGGGGAAGGGGGTCGAAAATTAAGTTTTAACAAAATTATTTTTTGTAAAAATAGAATACATTTTAAAAAGTGTTTTGGAGTTTTGGAAGGTCAAACGGTTTGGCATTTACCTGGAATTTGCCTAGGAGAATGATTAGTTAAATGCTTTCACTGTGTAATAGCCGGAAATACACATGTTACTATTTAGCGAGAAAACACCCCCTTTTCACGAGACAGCCATGCATTGCAATGTAAACACTTCGTTTAATGGATTTCCTTGCGCGAGGGGGGGGGGGGCATTTTTTAATTTTGATATTTCAGAGAAGACCATAAAAAAAACTAGATACAGAAATATGCAAACAATTATTTGTTGCTACTAATGTAAAAAAAAACCTAGTTAATTGATTACCTTTTTCATAAAGAAAAAAATATTTGTCACACAAATCAGAACTGTCATTCATAATTATTAACTTCTTATTAACTTCTTTCGAATCAAATTTGTTCCAAAAAAAACCTAAGAGTAATAAAAAATCTATAATTTATACCAATCCTTTTAAAGCAAATGATAGTAATTGAATTTGAGTTAAATGCAAAAGAGAAAAAGCTTTAAACCAGAATTTCAATATGATTTTGTTTATCACTGGAAAAATTTCATATCTTCTCAGATTATATTAAAGGGAGTTTTCAACGAGGTTAAAGTGTATAGAGTGATGATGTACGCTAATCCTTTACTAATATTATGGGCCATCAACTATACCGAGAGTGTACTGCATATTCTGGCCTAACTTATTATAGTATATCAAAATTAGTAAACAGTTGTAAGTGTGCAGTACAGCTAACTGAGCAAACAGCTAGAGAACTATCAACCCCCCTGGGAGTTTCAGTTTAAAGTCTGATTCACAGCGGTACCCTGAACACCTTTGGTCTTTATCTGATCAATAATGTCGGGTTTCTGGCTTAAAAAGCGATGAATTATGACAATCAAATTTTTTAAAATAAACCACCAATAAAAATTTCAAATTATAGATAGACATCCATTGATAACTTACTCATTGGCGCTCAGAGAGAAAGATGTTTCGATGGTATCTTTGGTACTCGGGCATTATTAAATGGTTGTGAATAACATTCCAATAACCCCCCCCCCCCCTTCCCACTATAAACATCAACCTTATAAATATATAATTCGATCAGTACATCAGTATTTCATATTTCTTCTTTAGAATCTTACTACTAGTTTTCAATGATTTATGGGGGGGGGGGGTTAAAACTTGTAATGATAAAAAACGTATAAAATGCATTTGATGCGGGTTTTCATAAAAACTTTCAGAAATTTTCTCACATGCGATTTTAAATTTCTAATTATAAAAAACGTTCGTCTGCATTATATGACGTGTTTATCAATTCCTGTTTTTAAATTCCTTGGTAATATGTAATTTATAACTTAACCCATATATTTGTTTACAAAAGACGTGTACTGGAAGTAATGCGAGCGATAAAAACAAAACAAAACGCAACTCAGTTTGAATTTTATCAATATTACACTTTTCATTAAAATAAAGATATATGTGAGTTCCTGGTGTATCTATCTTGGGCTTAAAGGTTTTCCTACAGGCTTAGGTCAGGCCTATAAGCCAGGTAACTTGCATGATAGATAGATGGATAGATACAGTTTCTCGTGAGTGGCCTAGGACTGCAGTAGTTGAGAAAATAGGTCATACTGTACACAACCAGATATATATATTTAACCTTATTTTACTGTTAGATTGTGCTTGTGAATATTTATCAGTAAATTATCTACAGTGTGTATTATGTGAATATATATACAAGACAGTAAATAAGCAAAGAATGTGAATATCTTAAAATTTATGTTACGATACCGTTCTATACATAGTTAAAGTCTATTTTGCATATAGAAATTGTGTTTAGATTTTTCAACGAAAATACATTTTATTTTTAAAAATGAAAAGGTATTCCGTTTCCGGACGTTTATTTTGGATGAAAACGATCTTGTGAGCAAAACCGTAATTCCAGACATAGCCGAGTATCCAAGTACATAAATGTAAGTTCAAATACAAAAAACTTCCTTTATTTCAAAATTCTTTAAATTTTCGAAAAGCAAATAAAGTATTTTTTATGTTTTGAATTGTTGTTTAGATTAAAAGTTAATTTATAGTCTAATTAGAAAATGCAAACCGATTAAAATAATGCAATACAATATAACTAGCAATTACATATTCAAACCTTGTTTTCAGAAAAATGAATGGAGTTTTATGAAATACATTTGTTGATGCAGTACAGTACACAGAAATACACTACTGTATGCAAATCTCTGATTTGGAGCAGGAAAAAAACTGTACGCTAAAGAAATTAATTAGTACAGATTTCAGACTTGTACAACGAAACATGCAGTACAATAGAGCGAATTAATGTGAACACTAAAATACATGTACACTGTACAATAGAAATAACTGCGTGAAAATGCTACGGTACAGTGGGTCAATACTGACCCGCATTCTAGCAATTATTGTCACCTGCTGGTTTATATCACATTCAGTATATTTAGGAAACAATTAGATAATATATCATCATATTTTTCATTTTTAATATCGCATTTATTATATTGAATGAAGGGTGGATTCTTTTGGGGTGGGGGGGGGAGGGGAGTGAGGAAGGGAGAGATAAATCGGGATACACAAAAGGGTGTAATTGAAAAAAGTACCGCGCCAACCTATCTATTTTGATCTCCGCATATAAAAAACTGTCTAAAACGCCAATTACAATTTGCATTAAAAATGAATACTTTTTGTACAAAGGAATTTTAAAAAGTATTCCATAAAGAAACAAACTCTTCCGTAAATCAATAATGAAAGAAACAAATCAAAATGAAATTTGAATATAAACAAAAATATGGTGGACAATATTTAGGATACGACTTTCCCTGAGAGCGCACTTTCCTGGAATATTTATTATTATTATACAGATTTATTCACACACAAAGATATAAATACATATATAAATGGTGTAGTTAAAATTCGTTTAAATAAATTTTTTTGAAAATCGGAAGAATTTAGTGGAATTAATTTAACCATCATCATTAATAACTTTAACAAGAGAGGAAATATCTTATCTTATTTAAATAAGTGTTGATTTTGATAAATATAAAATTTAAAGGGAGTGTTTGTGAAAAATGAAAGGGGTATAAGCTTACGGCGAAAATAAGCGCTTTCGATCTTACTTCTATTTGTTGGGTCTATAAGGAGAAAATTGTCAAAAACGACTCATACCTAAGAACCTTACAATTTCGGAAAGCTGCAACGTTCAACTCGCATCTTAAAAAATCAATTTAAGTCCAAACAAATCATTGAGAGTTTACAAACAATAGTCATGGGGGGGGGGGGGTAGGGGAGGGTTGCGAGAACGGAAAAATTTTAATTAATATTTATTAATATTTTAATCAGCAATCATAACAATTTTAACAAGAGAGTAAAATTCTACTCTTGTATGAAAAAGTGTTTGTTTTGATATATATAAAGTTTTAATAAACAAAAAGGAGAATTAGAGAGATATTATTTAAAAAATATATGAGAAACCTGTTGTAACGAAGAACTGTTCGTTAATCTAATTCTACTCCATAGTTGTTTATCTAATTGTACTGCATAGTTGATGATCTAATTGTACTGCATAGTTGTTTATCTAATTGTACTGCATAGTTGATCTAATTGTACTGCATAGTTGTTTATCTAATTGTACTGCATAGTTGTTTATCTAATTGTACTGCATAGTTGTTTATCTAATTGTACTGCATAGTTGATGAGTCGTACAGAACAGTTCTAAGGCTAACCTGGAAAGCAAAATATGGAGATATTGATTATAAACAGGTTAATTTTTGGGACTTAATTTTGGGACTTAATTTTGGGACTTTTACAAATAATTATTGGATTTCTCGTAATTATAGAGAGATTTGGGACTCTCCCAAGGGGCAAAGGGAAATTATTCCCAAAGAACTAATAGAACATTCCCAATTGTAAATTATTTAAAGAAATTATTTTATATTTTGGGATTTCTAGTCATCATATTGCTGGCAATTTTATCTGGAACCGAAATTTTTAGAGTTCTTCTGAATCCATCATCATGTTTAGGAAACCAAAAAAGTAAAAAATATAAACATTTTAAAAATAATTTAGGTTTTGACACCTGAGAAGATGATTTTACTTCACACCCAACCTAAATCTGAATATCTAGGTTCACTTCTAAACATTACAGGTAGGACGTTTTTTTTCAAAATAGAAATAGAAAGAAAAGTTATTCTTAATCAAATCATAATCAAACAAAAATTTTACAATCCTTTTCATTCTGATTTTGTAATCAAATATTTAAAATAAGAAACAATAGGTTTCTTTATTATGAAATATCACCGCTTACAGTGTAAAACACCTGTTTTCTTTGTATGAAAAAAATCTTTTAAATTCTGAATATAAATGAATAACAAATTTACTAATAATCTAACTTTTAAAGATTTTGTTCAAAAAATAATTTTTTTTCTATTTATTAAAAAACATTTTTTCCTATTTCAGCAGTTTGCTAGTGCATATATGCATCCTTGAGTAATAAATAGGAATATATAAATAGGAATATACAAATAGGAGTATAAATAGGAATATTATTATTATTATTATACAGATTTATTCACACACAAAGATATAAATACATATATAAATGGTGTAGTTAAAATTCGTTTAAATAAATTTTTTTGAAAATACAGGTTTCCAAAAGAAAAGAGAAAAAATATGCAAAATTATGCACAAATAGAAAACATTGATTTTTGCTCACTACATAACATTCATTCTTGTACTTAAAAGTTCTTGTAAAACCGGAACTTTCCATTCATGTTCCAATGGGACATCAGAATATTTCATTTGTTTCTTAACTAACATTTTACTAAAATAAATATTTAAGGAAATAAACTCTGGAAAGAGATAGAAACAGATTTGGAGAATTCTCTTCTTGATATGTTTCAGAGGACTGACAAGGTGAAATATTTATTATTATTATTATTATTATTATTATTATTATTATTATTATTATTATCAGATGAAAGGTTGGGAGATAAAGAAGATAGGCTCGGATGCCTGGCAAAGTGTTTCTAAAAAGCTAAAAGTTCTTGATAAAGAACTTGAGTCTCATTCTCCATACGTCAATTCAAAGGAAGGATAAATATAAAAAAGTAAAAAAAATGAGAAAGATTGAAGTGAATCAAAAACCATGTTTAGTTAAATTTGTTTCTGACATTTTTTCTTCAAATTTTATGTTTCTATGTTTCCCTTATATTTAGAATCAAGATGAACCTGACATGAAAAATATTCTGATTTACAACAGGAAAAAAAACAACTTTTTTTAAATTTTTTTTTTTTATGATAATATTCTAGTTTTTATCATAATGGCATATTCTTTTGGAGAACAAAAAAACCAGCCGTAGCGGTTACACGAGCTGTTGAGACATAGTTTGGACTCTTTTAGAATATGTAATGGAAATGATTTTTAAAATAAATTTTTTATCTTTAACCAATGGAATTAAATCCGATAATACTATTTTTATCTTTTTTCTTCAACAGCTGTAAACACACATTTTCATAGCAAACCTAGATATGTAAAAATGTTGAGGGAAAAACTATTTACCTAAAGAATATAATTTCAGAGGTTTAATTAGAGATTGATTTATGATTAGAGAAAGAAAAAGCAAATATATTATCAAGTACAAAAGATGGCAACGTAGAATTTGTTCACTCTCAGTACAGCTGTATTCTTACGTAATAAGTGTCAAATCGTTTTTGTGTCTGACAAAATTATTAATGATAATGATAATTTTAGACTAAGTGCTTATCTTACAGTAAAATAAGTGCAATTTTATATGTTCTTTATTTTCTGTTTTTACACTTTTTTATATAATCTTGGAAAACATGTCAAATAATGTAAGACAGTTTTGTTTTTCTTGATAAATTGGGCACTTGTCACGTCATGTATAATTGGTTCATTTCTCTGTTGCTACCTATTGTTATTAATAATAATAATAATCTATTAGGAAAAAGTATTATTTCTTATTCTAAGCTACGACTTACAGTGTTGCCTATAGATATTAACCGCTAAGTTTTTACTCCAAAGTGAATATCATTGCTTAAAATGAATTAGTTGTTTTGTTGATCAGATTGTCTAAATCTGGTTCAACCTGGCTCATGAGCCTGATTTACCAGCTCAGAGAACAACTTGGATATCTAGGAAAATTAATAAAAAAAAACCAAATATTAGATTTTTTCAGATTTTTTATGTCTGGATCAAAATTACTAATGTCAGTGAGAAAAAAATCGTCAAAATAAATTCAGACAAGAACTGGTAAAAATTGAAAATCCTTAAAATTCTAAAAATTATCATTAAAAAAACCGGTTCTGGAAAGATATTTTTCAGAGTATAAAAAACAAGACAGATCGTAGCTTTTGTGTATTTTCATTATTATAGTAATGTTTGCCTTTAAACAACATATAAATCAAATCACTGTTAAATGATAAATTCATTAGTATTGTTTATGGTTTCACAATATACACACAAAATTCAATTTACATTTTAAAAATTTAATTCAATTAAATGAGTGAACTTTTTTAGTCACGACATTGAAACAATAAAAAGTATTAACAAAAATAGTTGAATCGTTTTTCATGCTTTAATTTAATCATTTTATATACAGTTGTCCGGGGGGAAATACTAGTCGTATAGATGTTTCCTGGTTTAATTTAATAATTTTATATACAGTTGTCCGGGGGGAAATACCAGTCGTATAGATTACACAGTTTCATATTGATCAACCCAGGTAAATATATTCTACGATATGATGATGATGCCAAAATATAGAATTTCCAGGAATAACGATAAGGGAGTGTTCGCAAAACAATAAAGGCTGGTCCCGAGGTATGAGGTATTTTTAACCATTTTCTCCCTATATAATATAGCACAGAAAGAAACTAGTATTAGTAGCGATCAAAACCGAACTTAATTCGGCATCAGTCTATTTTTCGCAACAAATTCTAACCCAATTATAACTTTGCAACCTGATATCGTAAATCTTTGATATTTCAAACTGTGAGTTTTGTTAGATCTAAAGCCGAATTTTATGAATTAAAACCCCGTCACTGAACCGCTAATCAAATGGCGCCGGGCTCAAATCTCAAAGCACTGATTAAAATTAAAACCGAGTGTCATGTTTGAACCAGGCACACTTGTTTGCCGATTCCATTAGCGCCTGATCCAAACAGGGTTCAGTCATGTGTTTGTTGTCTATTCTGAACCAATAGAAATAGTATGACGGTAACATCTATCTTTCTATCTATCTCATCTTCCAATTAGAGATGAATCCTTAAATCGGTGCTATCAGTAAATGGAAATATTTACTTCTCCTGAAACTGAAGTGCAGGTCTTTATGAAGTTTAAATTCTTTAAATTCGGTATTAAAGTTTATATAATTAACATAAGTTTACAATACGAGGTTGCAAGGATATAGGGATTAGAAAATTTTAATTTTAATTTTCAAATATTGAGAATAATTGTTTTAAAAAAAAACCTTGACGCATTACAAATAAACTAATCCTGATTGTTAATCTTTGCAACCTGATGGCGCAGACCTTAGATTTTTAAAATTCTGTTTTTCAAACTAGACAAAAAAAGGTTTGAAACATCACACGTTCACCATAGTTTCAGTAGAAGTAAATATTTCCATTTACTGATGAAAGGATGCGCCAAAGGCTGTTAACTATACAATGTTTTAGTCAAAGAATAGATGTTTGTTAAATTTAGGTGCAACGTTAAATTATGGCACAACCTCAAATTTTCTAATCCCTATATACTTGCAACCTCGTATTGTAAACTTATGTTAATTATTCAAACTTTAATACCGAATTTAAAGAATTTAAACTTCATAAAGACCTGCAGCACTTCAGTTTCAGAAGAAGTAAATATTTCCATTTACTGATAGCGCTGATTGAAGGATTCATAACTCTGATTGAATAATGAAATATATAGAAAGATAGATGTTACCGTCATACTATTTCTGTTGGTTCAGAATAGACATCAAACACATGACTGAACCCTGATTGGATCAGGCGCTAATGGACTCGGCATACAGAAGTAGCTCAAATCCATTTAATTAGGTTCCTAATAACATTTAACAATTTAATTTTTAATTAAATTTTTATTTAGATATGTAAACCTGGTGAGAGACCCCCTTGAACAGTTTATATCTGGTATTACTACAAGATAACACTTAACAACTTGATTTATTTAGATATGTAAACCTGGTGAGAGACCCTCTTGAACAGTTTATATCCTGGTATTACTACAAGAGAACATTTAACAACTTGTTTTATTTAGATATGTAAACCTGGTGAGAGACCCCCTTGAACAGTTTATATCTGGTATTACTACAAGATAACACTTAACAACTTGTTTTATTTAGATATGTAAACCTGGTGAGAGACCCTCTTAAACAGTTTATATCCTGGTATTACTACAAGATAACACTTAACAATTTGTATTATTTAGATATGTAAACCTGGTGAGAGACCCCCTTGAACAGTTTATATCCTGGTATTACTACAAGCGAACAACTGTTCTTTTCAACAGAAGTCCTCTCAATATGACCACAGGAATTATTTTATTTCATACTAGTGTCCGGCGTTGCCCGTGGAATTTGCAAAAAAACTTTTTTTTTCTGATTTTGAAAAAAGAATATTTTGACAATGTTACCCATGGGTACCCCTGGATTTCATAAAAAAATGTCAGCCAATTTGATCCAGCCGTTTGGCCAGCTTTAGCTAACGTATATATATATATATATGTATATTGAAATATATGGATATAATATATAGAAGAGAGATACTTCCTGAGCTCAAATCTTTTTCTTCTTCAAATGACATTTGGTTAGATTTAGTTTTGCTTTTGGAGGTGATTAATATGAATGCCTATGTCCAGTGACTACTAAAATACAATTAAAATCTTTTTATTTGATGATGTTTGGTCAACAGATTTGGAGGTGATTAATATGAATGCCTATGACCAGTGACTACTAAAATACAATTAAAATCTGTTTATTTGATGATGTTTGGTCAACACTTTTGATTTCTTCTCAAATAAAATGTATTCAGAAGAGAAGAAAATTTTGGGTCAAAGTCTGGAGGAATGTGTTGTGGAGAGACGTTTAGGAAATACAGAAAAAAATTGAAAACAACGACTAGTTATGATTATAAACAATACAATGAAAATGAAACACAGAAATTTTCCAATTCCGCGCAACTCCGCACAATTCCGCACAATTCCGCACAATTCCGCACAATTCCGCACAATTCCGTGCAACTCCGTGCAATTCCGCGAAACAAAATTTCGATTGGAAACCCTAGTTAATTTTCAAGCTATGTGGTGGTAACACTTTTGCTTTTCTAAAAACCAATCTGCTCAGTTCTTTGAATCCCACCGAAGAAACCTGTTTTAAATTATTTTTTTGGTTAACACTTTAGTTAATTCTTTTCTGTGTGTTCAGAGTGTGTATATCATGGTTACACAACGCCTAAAAATAAAACCAATCAACTTGACTTCAGGGATGTCAACATTTTTACATTTGTAAAATTTTATTTAAAAGAGAGATGCTTCCTGAGCTCAAATCACTTTCTCTTTCTTCTTCAGATGACATTTGCTAACATTTAGTTTTGTTTTTGGAGGGGATTTATATGAATGCCTATGACCAGTGACTACTAAATATTAGTAACTCTTTTTATTTGATGATGTTTGGTCCAAACTTTTTGATTTCTTCTCAAATAAAATGTATTTAGAAGAGAAAAAAATTTTGGGCCAGAGTTTGGAGAAATGTGTTGTGGAGAGACGTTTAGGAAATACAGAAAAAAATCTAGTTTTTGATAAAATAAAACTGTTGAAAAAAAAAAAACGACTAGTTATGATTATAAACAATACAATTAAAATGAAACACAGGAATTTTCAAATTCCGCGCAATTCCGCATAATTCTGTGCAATTCCGCGCAATTCCGCACAATTCCGTGCAATTCCGCACAATTCCGCACAATTCCGTGCAATTCCGTGCAATAAGATTTCTTTTCAAAACCCTAGTTAATTTTCAAGCTATGTGGTGGTTACACTTTTGCTTTTCTAAAAACAAATCTGACAAGTTCATTGGATCCCACCAAAGAAACGTTTTTAAAATTATTTTTTGGATAAAAATTTAGTTAATTCTTTTCTGTGTGTTTAGAGTGTGTATATCATGGTTACACAACGCCTAAAAATAAAACCAATCAACTTGACTTCAGGGATGTCAACATTTTTACATTTGTAAAATTTTATTTAGCATTTTATTAAAACTAAAAAAACCTAAAAAAGTAGATTTCACATTTTTTTGTAAAATTAGTTTGATCCTTTATTTTTTTTATGCTTTATCGATTTAAAAAAAATTATGTAGATTAAAAGAATATGTTTTTTTTAGAATTGTACCGTTTTTTTTTTCCTTTTTTTGCAACTTAATATTAATATTCATACTTTTAAAAAATAAAAGTGTTACGAAAACACGATTACAAACTTTTTTTCGGGGGGGGGGAGTTTTTCAATATTTTAGTAAAAAATACTAAAACTTGAAAAGTTTCAAAGAAAAGTCTTTGCCACAAACTCAAACATTCTGATGACTATATCTTTGCAACCATAAGGTGTAAACCTTTAATATATCAAATTTATCCTAATTGATCTAACATCGTGCTGCACAGATATGCAATTAGAACCTTTTTTATTATTTTTTTTGGATTAGACCCAAGAGTAAAATATTCCCAAGTTTAAATAAGTTTATTGAACTCATTTGAAACGAAGTAAAGAGACATTGTCCAATTAGACAGGGCCCCGCCCCTGAATTTGAATAGAAATGTTGTCTGCACTGTGTTAGAACTAAATGGAATCCTGACTTCTTCCACCCGAATGATATGATGTTACACTTCTGTGGGCATGAACCTGAGTGTACAAGTTTAGGCAACAATATAAAGCAAAAAAATCTAGAAAAAGTTTTTTATTTTCACAATGAGGGCGCTTGGAGCCCCCTTTTTATTTTTATTTTGGCGCTTTTTAATATAGGATAGTGGAATTTAAATTGTTTAACTAGAAAGATTTTTTAACCCCATTTTAAACATTTTGCCAAATCAATGATTTTTAACTTTTTCTTAAAATTGTACTGTTGTTTTATTAGGGAATCCATTGGCTTTAGCCAGAGCTAAATACAACGTTGAAAACTACTTTTCCGTTATAGGTGTACTTGAGTATCCCGAGGTAAGTATNTTCTCCCATTGTATCTGCAGTAGAAATGGGCATGCCATCGTTGTAGAAAACCATACTTAAAATAATTATTGTTTTAAGAGTTAAAGGTTGAGTCACTTGAGTCAACTATTACAGTCCC